GGGAGGGAGAGAGGAAGGAAATTTGAGGGAGGGAGAGAGGAAGGAAATTTGAGGACGGGGAGAGGAAGGAAATTTGAGGGACAGGGGGAGAGGAAGGAAATTTGAGAGACGGGGAGAGGAAGGAAATGAGAGGGAGGAGGAGAAGAAGGAAATTGGAGGGGGAAGAAGGAAATTGGAGAGGGAGGGGGAGAAGAAGGAAATTGGAGGGAGAGGGGGGAGAAGGAAATTGACGGTGGGGGGAGGGGGAGAGATTGACATCCATCACACACAATGCACCCCTTGCACACAGAAAAACACACAATGCATTACACACAGATACACGTACACAAGCAATGCATCCCTTACACACAGCAACACACAATGCACCCCTTACACACACTCAATGCATCCCTTACAGACGCACACACTGCATCCCATACATACACAAACTCATCTTGCAGCCCTTACACAGATTCACACAATGCATTCCTTACACACATCAGGACATCCCCCACACACACACACTCCACTCCCTGTGAACAAACTCATTGGTGGAACATGAAGGTGGACCCTGGGACCCAGACAGTGAGCTGTGTAAAGGGCCCTCAAAAAAATGGAGCTGCTTCCCGTTCTCCCAGAACAGTGATTTTTGTGACCACAGTTACAAACCGCCTCCAGAGAGCCTGTTGTACACCAGACCAGTGGAACCAGACGGCAGCTAGAGCCCATCATCATCCTCATCTGGTTGTAAGTAGGCAATCTAGTATATTATTCGTGGCACTAATCTCTAATTTACCTCACATTAAAGGGACACTATAGTCCCCATAACCACTGCAGCTTAATGTAGTGGTTCTGGTGTCTAGCATGTCCCTGCAGGCCTTTTAATGTAAACACGGCGGCACTGCAGCACTGGTGTTAGTTAACATGGCAGATCATATGGGTGGGGCATTGTGATGTCACATGGGGGAGGGGCGGCAAACTTTACTTTTGCCTAGGGTGGCAAAAATCCTTGCACCGGCCCTGTAGACACTGCATCCCTGTGGGCGGATTCGGGGGGGGGGCAGCACTTTGGGCGGACTCGGGTGCAGCACCGGGGGGCCCAGACCTTGAGCTGTGTCAGGGGCCCCAACATTTCTGATGGCAGCCCTGGAGCCCAGACCTTGAGCTGTGTCAGGGGCCCCAATATTTCTGATGGCAGCCCTGGGCGTAGGTCTCTCCCTGACCGGTATCTCATTACCCCTAATAAACTGGACATCAATAAAATTTCCAGCAGCACCTGAGTCCATTAGGGCACTGCAAGAAAACTTCTTGTTATCAAGGGAAATAGATACCTCAAGGAGGAATCTACTTTTGTTTTTGTTAGAGGACAACTCCATCACACCTAAGATCTGTCCCCTTAAGGTTCTTAGGTGCGGAAGTTTTCCGGACGCACTGGACAATTAGTTATCATATGTCCCTTTCTAACGCAATATAGGCATAACCCCTCCCTTCTCCTATACTGTTTTTCGGCCTCTAACAGTCTAGTGACCCCCAACTGCATAGGTTCGGGTTCGGACTGTACAGGGAGGTTAGACAAAACAGGTTTAGAGAATTGAGGTGCTAGGGACATAGCCATACGTCTGGTCTTGCTTCTGGTGACTTCTCTGAGTCTTAACCTATTATCAATATGCATGACAAACGTAATAAATTCGTTAAGACTCTTAGGTAATTCTTTAGCAGCTATCTCATCTAGTATAGTCTCTGAGAGACCCTTTTTGAATGCTGAGATTAACCCATTGTTAGTCCAGTCTACCTCGGAAGCTAAGGTACGGAATTTAATAGCATAATCCGAGATAGACCGGTTAGTCTGATGTGCATTAGGGCAGTGGAGGCGTCATCCTCTCTACCCAATGGCTCAAACGTGAGCTTGAATTCGGCAAGGAATTCCTGGTAATTATGAGCTATGCTCCGATTACTCTCCCACAACGGATTAGCCCAGGCAAGGGCCTTGCCCTTTAATTGATTCATTAGATAACCAATTCTTGCTCTGTCCGTGGGGAATGACCCTGGTGAGGCCTCAAAATGGTACTCCACCTGATTAAGAAAACCCCTGCATTCCTGGATATTGCCATCAAACTGTAGGGATGGTGATAAAGAGATGCTAGGAGTCATATTAACAGTGGGTGGAGGTACACAGGGTAGAGGTGCTATAGGAGGAGATGCTGCAGGCTGCAGATGCTCCGTTCTAGCGAGAAGTGTACTTAAATCCTGAGTGAATTGATCCATGCGGTGATCATTCTCCTCTAATTTCCTCTCGCAAGCAGCTATGTGCTGACGCAGTTCTACAGGATCTATGGCCATGTCGTAATGTCAGGATTACTGTTTGATCCAGCACGTAGAACTGTACAGCACGGATGACAAATAAGTAACGTATTACCGGTCCTTAGAATGGCCGGATTTAACGTACAAAGAATAGTCAAAAATACTAGCCGAGGTCAGGGAACACAGAAAGGGACACAGCGATGAGGAAAGCCAGGAGTCAGGATACCAGAATATAGAGAAGTCAATAAACAAAGCCAAAGTCAAAAACCAGGTAGAAAACTATAAACAGGAACGCGCTCTCAGACAACCACAAGGGAAACCACGACAGGGCACTGAGCAGGCTGAGAACTGGGCCTAAATACCCCTCCTTTCTTTCTGATAGGCTGTAACCGGCCTTTGACCCCAAAGTCAGTTACCAGGTTTCATTTGCATAATTGCTGCTCAGCATTAACCCTTCTGTGGATTAGGTTGCTGCTCGGCACAACTTTTCCTGTGTGGACAGTAAATGTCATTAACCACTTTTCTATAAGCGGATGAATACATGAGACCAGGTTTCATTTGCACAATTACTGCTCAGCATTAAACCTTCTGTGGATTAGGTTGCTGCTCGGCACAACTTTTCCTGTGTGGACAGTAAATGTCATTAACCACATTTCTATAAGCGGATGAATACGTGACAGTCTTTGACTCTTATGTAAAACAAAAAAATTCCAATTTTTATTATATCATAATTCCCTTCTTTTGGGGATATATGGCACCTTAATAGTGATGTCCTGAACGGTTCGCCACGAACAGTTCTCCACGGACTCATCATTGAGTAAACTTTGACCCTGTACCTCACAGTCAGCAGACACATTCCAGCCAATCAGCAGCAGACCCTCCCTCCCAGACCCTCCCACCTCCTGGACAGCTCACTAAGAATGCAGCTTCAAAATGGATGCTGTCCAGGAGGTGGGAGGGTCTGGGAGGGAGGGTCTGCTGGGAGGGATTGGCTGGAATGTGTCTGCTGACTATGAGGTACAGGGTCAAAGTTTACTCAATGATGAGTCCGCGGCAAACCGTACGTGGCGAACCGTTCGGGACATCACTACACCTTAACACTTATGTCAATAAGCTGGATGAACAAACTTAGCCTCTTAAAAATTACAATATTTTATTACCTCCTGCCTTTATTTAGAGCTTTTTCATCCGTTTTTTAAAATTACTTTTAAATAAATTTAAGTTGTCTGTCTCAGCAAATAGCTAAGTCTTACTTACAGAAGCTGACTTTATTTTCACTGAGATCCTCTGTCTCCTTCTTAAATCATTGAATCTTCTATTGCTCCTTTCACCTCTCTTTTCCCCTCTCCAAAATATTTAATCCGTCCTCCATATCACCAAAGAGGGCAATCTCCAAGCCCTTAAGCCAGAAAGAGGTCCAAGCCAAAAGCCTGCCGCGTTGTGGAGCCCAAGCTGGGTTTTCAATCTCTGTACCGCTGACACAGCTATGCAATTAATAACTTTGTCTGCCTCTTTTTTAGGAGCCTCCATTTTCTCTACACCATCAAGGTTCAGCGTCCAGCATCAATGCCGCCCCAATTCCTCACTTCCTCACTTCCTGGTCCCTGGAGCGCGCGGACCTGCAGCATGCGTGCACACTTACGTCAGGCACAGCCCGCCCATTCCCATTTCTATTTTATTTTTATTTCTATTCTATTATTATTATTATTAATTTTATTTCATTATTTTTTAGTATACACATATACATTTTGGCTATATGATTATTCATGTTCCCCCACATACCACACGAATCTCGATTGATTCATGCATTTGGGTCATGTATCTAAAGGCATTATATCATGTCCGAATATATATAATTTAACTAACCCTGTTTCTCTTTTCCCAGTATTATGTTTATCAAATGGAATCTTTTTCTACCAATTATTTCTCCTGTAAAAAAAGTTTTTGATCTTTCTAATTTTATCTATATTTGCATTATCAAATGTTGTTCTTTGGAATGTTTTAATACTAAGTGATAAAATATGTTCTTATAATTGTATAATTAGACCTTGTATGTATAATCTGTTTTTTATATAATTTGTTTCTATACACACATTTTTTTTTTTTATATCATATTTACTGTCTATACATTATGCCATTACGTAAAATATAGAATTGGATACATAGAAAATGTATATAAAGCACTATTGCAGCACTGGTTCTCCATCCGTCTCTGAAGAAGTAGGGGTACACCTACGAAACGCGTAAGACTATTGGACACACATCAGGATCCAGATTTAACACACGCACGTTATTCGCAGTCAGCATTCTTCCAGGACCTGTTGGTTTATTTACTGAAATGAAGCCGCTCACAACACACGTCCCTCCGGAGTGAGGCTCCCGCAGGGACGCATGGTGAACGAACACGCTGTCCTCTCCGGCGGTATCATCATAAGCGGCAAGAATTTCAATCTATATCCATCCTTATCTAATCCGAAGGTCTCTTCATAGGTCTGACATCATACCATCTGGTAACATTTATATGAACTTTTCCTGATGTGTATTTTTTAACTATATGTATTTTTTATTTTTTTTCATATATTTTATATTTTAACATTATTTGTCCAATAAACTGTCCTTTATTCCTATCCAGTTTGAGAACCATCATCTGTTGTTGTTACACTGTGTAACAATATTTTAGCCTGCAGTTCCTCATACTGTATTGCTACAATATGATACATTTTTCTATGTATATCCATACTAGATACTAAGTTTATCATACATCATTTGGTACAGGTGCCAGTCATTCTGCTCTATAGCAGTAATAGAGACACTTGCACTGCACACTTCTGTTCCAGATACATTTTTACATTCATTTTTACTTTCATTGTTACTTTTGACTTTTTTATTTATTTTTTTATTTATTTTAACTTTTACTTTCTCACATTTTTATTCATTCACTTATTTATCCATTCTATATCCATTATTTATCATCAATTTATTGAATTACATTTATCCTGTTTTTATCTTTGCTATTTAGATCTCTTTTAAAGGTACAGCACCACTATATCTATATCCTCTTTTATATATAGGTATACACTCACTTGTAGCCATATTCTAGGCCAGCTCCTGGTATTTACAGACACTTTTGGTGTCTCTTCTCAGTTATTCTTTTATAGGTTTTATGGGATCCCTATTTTTTCCCAGTTCTTTGAGCAGCCTAGCGCCAGTCCTACTCCCTCACCTCTGGGTAACACATTAGGTGTACCAGTATCCATTATCTCACATTAAAAAACCTGCAGGGCAGGCTATAGACACCATAACTACATAAAGTTGGTGACTATAGTGTCCCTTTAATTTCAGTGTAGCTACCAGCCTACCAACAATAAGGATTTTCCCCGCTGTGGCCCAGGGTAAGCCACAGGGAGAATTATAAATTAAACATCTATTTGTTTGTTTGTTTTTTTACTTTTCCTCAGTTTTTTTTTTAAACTGATGCCTTTCAATAACTCAATGCTTTCCTATGGTGATTCCGGCATAGCGTGAGAATGTCCAGCCTTGTTTAAAACACTTATAAAAACTGCAATAATTACACTTGCAGGGTTAAGGGTGGTGGGAGTTGGCACCCAGACCACTCCAATGGGCAGAAGTGGTCTGGGTGCCTGGAGTGTCCCTTTAACAAAAATGTTTTTCTTAATTTTGTCTGGTCAGTGAAGAAACTAAGAATAGCTTCCAATATCACTCTATAGCCAATAAATGAACGAGGTCTTGGGTTTCCAGATCCCATTCAATATTATATAGTTGCCAAACTTGCCCCAATTCATAATTATCTTCTCCCTGTGGCAAATCTGCGAGGTTGACATTGAAGAATCAACAAACCTTTCATGAAAAATCCCATCAAAATGAAGCAACAATAAACAAAATGATTCTATCTACTCATACTTGCCAGTTAAGGGGAAAAAAACGAAAATAATTTAAAAATAGAGACAAATTATCTACCAAGAATTCAAATATGTCTACATTAATTGGAAACCAAAAATTCCACCAAGATTGTAATAATAACAAAACAAAAAGTTTAACTGGTGGTCATCAATACTTCTTCTTTACAGCTGACTTCATACGTCAAGGATAAATATGTACGTTACATTATATTATAGAAAACTATGTGCTACTAAAAATCATAAATAAATAACTTTAAATCCATTACTTACTTTATTGAAAAAAACATATGGTCCCATCAACTACCCGAACAAACACCTCTTGAACAACTTTTTAAATCACACACCAAAACTCCTGGTTTAATATCAATAATATGATCTATGCATCACACTCTATGTTTTAAAAAAGAACATCAAATAATATACAAAGTACGGAGAGAATACTTAATATAATAGTAGCCAATTAATAGGGTGCTATTCCTTAAAGGTATAATCAATCGGTACTACATTTGATGAGAATGGTTTCAAATTTATATCATGCTGGTACTTAGACCCTATGACACTCCATCACATTTATCCAGCTAGATCACTGAATTCTACATGAGGATGTTCAGAACTGGGTACTTATTTTCACATGTGGTTGGAATGTACTTTAATTACAGAATTTGGGAAAATTATATTCTTATACATTAGTGAAATACTAGAAACAACTGCTAACCCTGTACTGAAACTAGCCCTTCTAAATAATAATTTGAATTACTTGTATCTAGATCCCAAGTCCTTTAAATTTTATATTAAATTTTGCACAGCAGGTCGCATACGTATAGCCTAGAAATGGAGAGATGGTTTCACAAATTCTTAAACATTTCTTTCCAAAATTAAATTTATACATGGCATGGAAGAATTATCAGCCAGACAAAAAGGAAAACTTAACAAACATAAAGAATTCTGGCAAGCTTCGAATATACAATAGACAAACACCCTGTATAGTATTTCATTGTTACTGCCTTCTGACAAAACATAAAATATCAAGAAAATTCACATATAAAAACATTAGTACTCCCTCCTATCTTCCCTTTTTCTAATATCTTTTATCCAATAAAATATCCTCCATTTTCCCTATTGTCACAATATATCCCAACACCATCCTGAATTTTTAAATTTTTCACTACCCTAGAATTATACCTCTTTAATCTTTTTCCTCTCTATTTCCCTCTTATATTTTTAACATCCATAAAATAATTAACAGAGTTTGAGTTCTAGAGTATCATCATCTGTCATTCATACATAGATGTAAAATGTATTGATTCTACACTTTTTCCTCAACATTTTCAAAACGTACAAATATTTATTTGATCTCTTATTCCCTCATATTTATATATCTTTATTACCTTTATACTGATTAACGCATATTTTTTTTATTGTTTAACACTTTTACGTGTATACACACACTGTATATATATATATATATATATATATATATATATATATATATATATATATATTTTTTTCTGATGTCATTAAGTAAGTAAATGTACAATAAGTACATTTAAAAAAAAAATACTTTCCCCTCGGCTCCTGTCTCCCTATAGCATCCCACTACATTCCCTATCCCCCCAAACAACCCCCATCACCTTATTACAGACAGCTCTTAACACCCCCAATTACAAATCCTAACCCCATTATTGTTCCTAAGCTCCAACTACAACCCCTGACTCCCAACTGCAGCTCCCAACCCCAAACTACAGCCCTTAAAAGGACTCTCCACTGCCAGGAAAACAATCTGTTTTCCTGACACTGCAGGTCCCCTCTCCCTCCCACCACCCAGGCCCGGTTGCAGAGTGGCGGGGGTCAGTGACTTACCTGAGACCCCCGCCAATGTCCCTCGGCGGCGGTTTCGGGTCGCCGCCACTCCTCCCCTTCATCATGCCCGCCGGCTGAAGAGACCTAATGCACATGCACGGCAATGCCACGCATGCGCATTAGAGCTCCCCATAGGAAAGCATTGAAAATGCTTTTCAATGCTTTCAATAGGGTGAATTGAACGACCCTGTAGGTCCTCACACAGCGTGAGGACGTCCAGCGATGCTCTAGCACAGAAAACCTGTGCTATGAAGCAGGAAGTGCCCTCTAGTGGCTGTCTGGTAGACAGCCACTAGAGGAGGTGTTAACCCTGCAAGGTAATTATTGCAGTTTATGAAAACTGCACTAATTACAGTTGCAGGGTTAAGGGTAGTGGGTAAGTTGCAGGGTTAAGGGTAGTTAAGGGAACCCCCATCTACAGCTCTTGCCATAACCCCCATCTACAGCTCTTGTCTTCCCACTACAACCACTAACTTTACTATTCGAGCCCCTAACCCACCATTATAGCTCCTACCTCTCCCATTACAGCCCCTAATCCCCCAATACAGACAGTTTTACCTTTACAGACAGCCCCTAACTCCCCCACTATAGCCCCAATCCCTGTTAAAGCCTCTATTCCCTCACTACAGCTCCTGCTTCCTCACATCCCCCCATTAAAGCCTCTACCTCCTCCACTACAATCCCTGTCTCAACCTTACAGACAATCTTACCTAGGACCAATGTAATATTAATGACGGCCCTGAATTCACCATTTATTTAAAAAAAAAAACTCACAATGGGTTTACTCACCAAACAGTGATTTGGAAACCAAATTACAACATATAGCCAACATGTTTCAATTCACTACAATTAACTGGTTAGTAAATAAACCCTCACTGAGCAAACGTTGTTCCAAAAAAAAAAGAGGAACTATCTCTGGTGACATTTTTAAGGAAGTGAAAATAAAACTCATGTCACGAAAAAAACTCATGTCCTTCCTCCTTACAAACCCCTCCTTAACCCCCATCCTACTGTGCTCCCATTTCCGTGTTTGCGCTATTAAAGTTTTTTTCTGTCTAAGAAATAGGTAGTAAACTGAGACATTCTAAAGTGGGAAAACTGCAGGCAGCCGTGAATTTCGGTGGTGAGCAAATGTGATTACAATAATAATAGATACAAATCGCTATGTCTGTGTATACATGTAAATATATACTCATGGGTAGGGGCAGGGGGAAGGATCTGAGTAAGGATTAACAGACTAACAGTGGGAGTCAAGTGCCTGATTTGTACTACGCTTCTGAATGGGTTTTGGATAAACCGTATACCTGTATGTATAAGCTGAAAACTGATGTGTTCTCATACTTTACGTTTTTATTGTAAGGCACGCAATGTCCCACTTGGGTTCTATCAATGGAGTGCTAGCAGATGGAGTGTTAGCAGACGGAGTGTTCCAGCTGCCAGATGATGCTCCAGTGCTGGAGCATGGAGCCAACGCACAGGTGTGTGAATTATAACACTTCATTTATTTTATTCCATTACTATATGTTCAGTACAAGGACACATATATCTTCTCAGTGAGTGAGTGAGTATTAGATGATATAACTGCTGTGATATTATAAAAGAAGTATACAGCTGAGAAACATTTTTTAAATTAAGTCTGTAATTTAAAAAAAAACATAGCAAAACTACCTAAGAATGTATATGTTTCCCCAGCTGGTAGGCCTGGCATATTATATGTGATTGCTTGTATCTGAATATGGCAGCAGGTAAAAGGGCATTTCATGTTAGTAAACTCCTTTTTTTTACGCTTTTGACCTAACAAAGAAAATAAGAACGGATGTGGCAGCAACCCTTTTTTTTTTTCTTGCAATTTGCTGAATACAGGGTTGGATTTATCCTCCTGGTGCCCTAAGACTAGTTTTCCTAATGCATTCACCATTGGGGAATGCAACTAGTTTAGAGTATATGGATGGGTATGACTAGTGGTTGAATGATAGGTGAGAGAGGGCTGGGAGACCTGTATATGTGTGTAGGCTGCTTGTTGTGTTGTATGTTTCTGGGGACACTGCTTGTGGGTTTGTGTGCATAGGGGTAACTGCTTGTGGTATTGCATGTTTCTGTGGATGCTGCTTGTGGTGTTTGTGTGTGGATGTAGGTGTGACTGTTGTGTCGTTATGTGTATGGATGGAGCTGTATGCAGTGTCATAGATTATAAGCTAGTTTGAGCAAGGGTTTCTTCATCACTTGTCACTGTTATATTCCGTATTTAAAAACTTGTAATTTATCCCCATTTTATAATTTTATGTAGTGCCAGCATATTCCGCAGCACTTTACAATGATAATAATAACAGTATGTGTGTGCATGTAGATAGGGGTTGTATTTGTTAAGGGGGATAGGAGCTGTATTCTTTGTGTGTGTTCTTTAATGGCACAGGTGCTGTAGCATCTTTTGAGAGATAGGGGTATGTTTGGAAGGCATAGGGACTGTAGTATCTGTGGGCGGTGGGAATTGGGGCCGTAATGTGAGATCAGTCTAATTGGGGGGGGTGGGAGAGTATTCCGACAGTAGTGCATGCTCGAGGTCGATAGGGACTGCTGTGTGTCTTGGCGGATATAGGGGCTGTTGTGTGCTTGTTGATTGTGAGGGGGGGGAGAGGGCTGTCCTGCAAAGGGGGGCTGTTGTGTGTTGGAGGAATAGGGACATAAAATGGGTTAAATGAACAGTATAAATTAACAAACAAGTGTTCTTTGACGTTGCCTTTCTCCACTCAGTACATTGACCTGGGGGCATCTCTTGGGGACTTGGCATGAAAGATAATGCCCTCTCTCCTATTGGTAGACAATTGGGTAATCACACATAGGGAGGCATGTGGCTGGTCTCTTTTATATACACGAAATGTAATTTAAATTAAGTTATGGTGCTTGGAGGCCACCAGAGGCACTCTTACCTTAAGGGGTTAAACCATTCTTGAACGGTTTAACCCCTAAGTTGCCAAAATAGGTTATGTCACTTATCTCCCCAGGAGGCATATGGCTTCAGGAATTACAGATTCAGGAAGTTCGTAGTGTGCCTGGTAGTGGTGCTGCTGATTGGTTGAGATCGGTCAGCTAAAGCTTTCAGCCAATTAGTGACTCCCCACTCACAAAACTAGCTTGAGAAGGGTGCGTTTCTTTCCCAGCCAGTTTTGTAAATGGGGAGTCACTAATTGGCTGAGAGTGTCAGCTGACCACTCTCAGCCAATCAACAGCACTCCTTCCAGGCGGCACTCCGAACTTCCTGAATCTGAAGGCCTCCTGGCACCATAGCAACTTAATTTAGGTGAAGTTGTTTTGGTTCCTGGAGCGTCCCTTTAAACTATGGTCCCACTCACCATGACCTCTCACATTGCCACATTGCATGCATTCTGTCCTCCTAAGCCACCACTTTCCTGCTGGTGCTCTCACTTCCCCCATCATCACCATGGCAACAGCTTTGAGACAACACATGCGCAGAACAACCCTTATCTCAGACTTAAGTAATGTGCTGCTTGGCATGCCGGGAGTTGTAGTTTTGTTGGTACCTTTATCTCAAATAGTCTGCCTTCCAGGGATGCAGACTGCAAAAGCTCCAGGGGTTCAATTCCAAAGTTCACCGGAAGTGATACGAGATCAGCTGTGTGCATGTGCGCTATCAGGCCTCGGGTATAGAATTCTGACGGAGGCACCGCGCACATACGCGTGGCACATCCTTCAGATATAGAAATCTGACGTGTGTACTGCGCATGCGCGCGGCACAAAAATCAGATTTCTGTACCACTGCTTTCGCTGTGTTGTAACATACACAGTGTAGGCTTATGTGGTGTCAAATATGGGAGATGCAGGGTCATGGGGGTGACACACAGGGGATGGGGGGTTAATGGAGGTGACCTTCATGGGATGGGGGCTTAATGGGGGTGAGACACATGCACTGCTTGAAATGTCTTGGTACTGGGGATTCACTTCTGCCCCTCCATAGAGCCCCACTAATCTAACATTTATGCTCCGCAATCCGTTCCTTTACGGGTCTAGTCGGCTCCTCAACATAAATTTTGCCACATGGAAATTTATTTATATAAATAAAACGGGGGGAGGCTGCACTCACCTGAACATGCATAAATGGGGTGCTGCTGGGGGCCAAATCATACAATACACATTAAAGTTGCTGTTTGGTGGATAGGTGAGTGCTCTGGATCTTGTGTAATATCAGGCCCGGACTGGCCATCGGGCATACCGGGCAAATGCCCGGTGGGCCGCGGTGTCCGTGGGACCGAGGCCGGCAGGGAGATCACAGGATCTCTCCTGCCGGTCTTTGCAGGGCCGGCGCTATCTGAACGCCGGCCCTGCAGTAGTCCACGGTGGGCCGGTGGGGAGATCAGAGATCTCCCTCACCGGCCCACATAGAGAATACTGCGGCCGCCGGCGGGGAGAGAGGGAGGGAGCCAGCCGGCCAGCAGAGGAACCCCGGCGGAGCTTTAACTTACAGCTCCGCCGGATTCCTCTCGCGAGATTCGGAGCGTTGCCATGGCAACGCTCCGGGTCTCGCGAGAGTGAACTCTAGCCCAACAGGCTAGAGTTCACTCACCACTTGGACCACCAGGGATGGATGGCGGCAGGAGTAGCAGGATCCCCCCTCCCAGGCATAAGGTAAGCAGGGAGGGGGGATATAATCAGGGCACATAACACTCCCAGCACCCTCACTCACACACACACACTGCACCCCTGACACTCACACACACTGCACCCCTGACACTCACACACACTGACACCCACACACACTGACCCCTGACACTCACACACACACACTGCGCCCCTGACACTCACAGCACCCTCACACACTGCACCCCTGACACTCACACACTGCACCCCTGACACACACTGCACCCCTGACACTCACACACACTGCACCCCTGACACTCACACACACTGCACCCCTGACACTCACACACGCTGCACCCCTGACCGACAGCACCCTCACACACTGCACCCCTGACACGCACAGCACCCTCACACACTGCACCCCTGACACGCACAGCACCCTCACACTGCACCCCTGACACGCACAGCACCCTCACACACTGCACCCCTGACACGCACAGCACCCTCACACACTGCACCCCTGACACACTGCACCCCTGACACGCACAGCACCCTCACACACACTGCACGTCTGACCCTCACAGCACACACACTGCACCCTCACACACACTGCACGTCTGACCCTCACAGCACACACACTGCACGTCTGACACTCACAGCACCCTCACACACACACACACACACTGCACCCCTGACACGCACAGCACCCTCACACACCCACTGCACATCTGACACGGCACAAACAAAATGCACCCCCTAACACACAGAGCACCCTCACACACACACTGCACCCCTGACACACACAGCACACACACTGCACCCCTGACACTCTCAGCACCCTCACACACACTGCACGTCTGACACAGCACAAACAAAATGCACCTCTAACACTCACAGCACCCTCACACAAACACACTGCACCCCTGACACACACAACACACACACAGCACCCCTGACACTCACAGCACCCTCAAATACACACTGCACCCCTGACATTCACAGCACACACACTGCACCCTTGACACTCACAGCACCCTCACACACACACACTGCACCCCTGACACGCACTGCACCCCTGACACTCACAGCACCCTCACTCACACACTACACGTCTGACACTCACAGCACACACAAAATGCAACCCTAACACTCACAGCACCCTCACACACACACACACTGCACCCCTGACACTCACAGCACACACACTGCACCCCTGACACTCACAGCACCCTCACACACACACTGCACCCCTGACACGCACATCACACACCCTCACTTACACACACTGCACCCCTGACACTCACAGCTTCCTCACATGCATACACTGCACCCTCACACACAGCTTCCTCACATGCACATAGCACCCTCATGCAAACACAGCACCCACTCACACACAGCACACACACACTGCACCCATCACACACACAGCACCCTTACCCACATAGCACCCTCACGCAAACGCAGCACCCATCACTCACACACACACTGCACCCCTCTCTCACACACACTACACCCCTTACACACACACACACACACAGAGCACCCTCACACACACTGCGCAATATGCTTTCCTGGCATTTTTGTCTCCTGGTATCCCAACTATGGAGACACCAGAGACAAATTTCAAGCAAACACAGTGCAAGCATGTTATTAAATTTGCTTGCGCTGTGCAGAACAAATACAGGGTATTTTTCTCATGCCAGAGCTCTTCAGCAGAGCTCTGCGCATGGTCTACCCTGGAAGAGCATTGAACCAACATGCTCACTTTGTGATGGGGCGTGCTTGTCATTGGTGATGACAAAACACACCCTATCTGGCCCCGCCCCCATTTTAGTGGGCGGCTGTAATTAAAAAATGCCCGGGCCGAATTTTCTTCCCAGTCCGGCCCTGTGTAATATATATAACGTAATCCAAATTACACGTATAATAGTCTCAAATGGGAAACTTTTTCCTGGTGCGTGGGTGTACAAAATGTTCTCCACTGATCACACTGTTACAGTGCGAGCACTACAGACATGCGAATGTCCCTTTTTAGGTTCTGAGAAAATCTTCTCTTATTGGTACCTACATCCGATTTCACAAGGAAATCCCTCAAATTCCTCGTTCTCTTAGAGGAGAACAGAGACAGATTCCTAAACTCTCGAGGTAAACTCACATCACCCTGAAAGAGGGCCCATGTTTTAATATGATTTTTTCATATCTGCACTTAATAGAGTATGTGGTAAAATGAAGGGTATCCTATCAGTCCTACTGTCCTTAGTCATTGGGTTTAAAGTTTCTTCCCTATTGAGGCCTCGGTCCCTGGCTTGTTGTTCCAAATGTGCTGGTGGATATCCTCTTTCAGAGTATTTATTACTCATCCACCTGAGTCACTTGTGTACACAGTTTACGATTTCACATTATTTCAAGTATCTATTTTGTTGGCCAATGTGACATGTTTATTTTTTCCATACTAAAGAAAAAACATATAAGAATCATACAAGTGAGACTGTAGTTTTATTCTTTTTATAACTCAAAATCTCAAATACCTTTTTTTCCCTTCCTCTTTTTAAAGAAATCCTATCTAGCATTTTTATATTATATATATATATATATACCGTGTATGTGTGTGTGTGTGTGTATATATATATATATATATATATATATATATATATATATATATATATATATACCGTATATGTGTGTGTGTGTGTGTGTGTGTGTGTGTGTGTGTATATATATATATATATATATATATATATATATATATATATATATACACACACATACATATACGGTATATATATATATTCAAATTACAAGTATAATACAGAATTTAGCCACAAGATGTCGCCTTAGGAGTGTGTGTGTGTGTATATATATATATATATATATATATATATATATATAATATATACACACACACACTCCTAAGGCGACATCTTGTGGCTAAATTCTGTATTATACTTGTAATTTGAATTTAGCCTCAAAATAATCAACTTATTTAACTCATTAGTAAGAATATGTCTATATAGTTTATTCCCTGTATATGGGACCAGACAGAGTAAACAGAATAGAGTCATTCATACAGACATATTCATAATTCATGATTAAAACCGGTTAGCGGCAGAGTCAAATCCATCTGTCCAGTCTGGCGACCCACCCACTTGAAATTTCACCAGCCATAAACAAGGACAATGAGGGCATAAGGAACAACTTCACATAATGTCATAAATGTAATTTCTGACTTTTTTACAACAATAAAAAATAGGTTTATTTGGATGTACTGCAGCCATTTGAATGCAATGGTGTATTTGTATGTAATGTTGGCGTTTGAATGCAGAAGTGTGTTTGTGTAGTGTTGACATTGCAATGCAGGGGTGTATCTGAGCATAATATTGGTGAATGTAGTTGTGTATTTTGTGCGTTTGAATGCAGGGGTGTGTTTCCATGTGCATTATTGGTGTTTGTGTGCATTATTGGTGTTTCAATGCAGATCTACAGATACACACAAACACATATAAGTAACAAAATAGTTTTAGCCACCGTCCTGTTTTCTTACCTTGTATGTGCAAGAGGGTGGTTTTTATGGGGTTCAGTGGACTGCTTGGCAAAGGCTGATGGAAGTCTGAGGTTCCAGTCTTCCCTTTCCTCTCCTGTGTATGTGTTCCTTCTCCTGTCTCCCTGCTTGACTATCAGCAAATTTAGAGGAAGTGACCTGAATTAACTTCCTCCCAGCCAATCTTAGGGGGGACATGTTTGGGTCTGGCAACCTTGCCATAAACGACTTTTGCATTATGCTGCAGGGAGAAGAATTCTTGGGTGAAAAGGTTGATTATGATGAGGAAGCGGAGGAGAAAAGATATTATCGGCGCAAGAGACTCCTTACTGTGAAAAGTGTGGTTTTTGCAAGTCTAGGAGCAGCAATCACATATGGAGTATATTTGGGTATGTAACTAATGTATATGTCCCTCAGGTTGCCATCTTGGGATCCAAAGCTTCCTTTCCCTCATTCCTACCCTGGTGTCCTTTTCCCCTAAGATTTTGAAATGTTAAATAGATACTCCGGGTTTTTATACGCTCCACGTTTAACCCTCTTAGTGATTAAAGGCTTTTACGAAATACTATGAAATTACTATGTGTTTGCTCCACTGTACTTTCCCACTTTCACATTAAGAGCACACATATATATATATATATTTATTTATTTATTTTTGTAAAGGACAAATGGGGCTTTTCCTGATGATACCCTACATCCATGCATAATACAATATTAAGTATGGATAAAATATTTTTAAAAAATGTGAAAAACACTCTTTTTCCCATGGTTTTTATAATAATTTCTACACAACTACACAACAAGTTTAGGAAAATTACTCAACATAGATTCACTTATCAGACCTGAAAGTTAAAATATCCAATATGTCTAGAAAATGCCAGTGGAAAATGTTTGAGAACTCCTGGCTCTTCATCATTAGTAGTGGAAGCAGCCAACAGTGCTTGGCAGACGACAAGTAGCAAGTCAAACTACTGAAAAATAGTTACACTGCTTATAATGTGGAGGGCTCTAGAGCACTCCTGGTAAATTTACCACTAATGGTACAGTGGTTATGGTGCTTGGGATTGGAGTGTTCCAAGGAGTGATCTTCTCTTGAGACTTGGAGAGTTCTGATTTAGTTGGCTTACTAGCCAGAGAGCTCTTGGCCATATTGCAAAGCGTGGACATTTTCCCACGCTTTGAGATTGCTGACATAGTGTGCAAACTCCTATATAAGGGCTTTCTCTGATATCAGCACTCACACTGTGGTAAGCTCTCCATGGGTGAAGATGGAATATTTTTTATTGTGGCACAGTTTTTATTATGTATTTATTTATTTTAAATTGGTGGCAACAATTATGTTGATTTTACATTTTTAATTTAGGCCTTTTTGAGCTCTGAAGAATAGAAGACTTATTAAAAATAAACCAAGAACTTTAGATGGTATTATTATTATTTTATTTTTTTTACATATTTTAAATTTATTGCCCCGCTCCCAACTATTATTAGGGTGTGGTGGGTGAATCGGTACTTTGATTATTTTTAGGGGGATGACAAGATTGTTTTATTTAAAGGGGTGGGCAATGACATGTCCAAACCCTCACCTCACAGGTTTTTATAATTAATTAAGGCCCTCACCAATTGCCTATATGTGGGAGCCAGGGGGATATTGGGTCCCCACCCCACATCTCCCATGGGACATGCAAACTAAACACTGATTTTTCCACTCACAAAATTCAGCTACCGCACACACACAATACTCAACCAGCACACACAGGCACATTCAGTGTCACTGCCCCCCATATACCTCTCAGCCTGATTCATAAACAGCCTCCCTAAACCACCCCGCACACACACATAGAATAGATGATAAAAGAAAGGGAAATAGCTGAAGATAAAGTCCTTCTTATTGAATTGCAATAAAAGTCCTTTACAATCAAAATTAGTCTTTTTTTTTGTTGTAAATTTTTATTGGATAAATGCAAAGAATACAACATTGGTTCGCAAGTAACTGTAAGATCGTGTAAAGGTTTGATCTGTTTGTCGCCATTTTTTTCTAGGATTTCTCCTAGCGTAAGGTAGGCTGATGTTTGGAATGGCTTAAGTGCTTTACCTTCTACCCCTGGTTGGAATAAGGGGTTGTGTGAGATTGGGTATAGTGGAGATGGATAGGGAGGAATTTGTTTGTGTGATCGTAGGGTCGCCCACATGCAGAGGGTGGGTGTGATAGTTGGGTGCGAGCTGTGTATCATCAGAGTTTGTCCCGATTTTTGCCATGGTATCGTGTATATGGGTGCCCTAAAGTAGTGTTTTCAATTGTTACCCATTGTTTGTGGTGTGTGGGTTTACCAGTCGTATATTCTGGCTAGATGAACTGCTTTGTGGTATTGTTCTATATCTGGTAAGCCTAGACCACCTCGTCTTTTGGTCTAGTGAGGAGTGTATAAGATAGTCTTGGGTTTTTATGTGACCAGATAAAGGTCGTGACGATTTTGCGGACTGTCTTGAACCACGTTTTTGGAATTGCTACAGGAAGTACTTGTAGTAGGTAAAGGATCCGAGGAAGAACATTCATTTTAAGAATGCTCAGCCTGCAGAACCAACCATACTGAGGTTTGTTCCATGTTGTGAGGTCCGTGTGAATAGTTTTTATTAGGTCAAGGAAGTTTCTGTCGAATATGTGGAAGATTTCCCTGGTGATGTGGACTCCCAGGTATTTTATGCTGTGTGGGGCCCATGTGAACTGGTGATCGTGTTGTAGTGTTGCTTTTATATGTGCGTGGATGTGTATTGGAAGGATTTTGCATTTACTGAGATTCGCTTTGAAGTTGGAAATCGCACTATATGTGTTCATTTCTGTCATTAGATGTTGAATTGAGGTAGTTGGTTTTGAGAAAGAGAAGAGCATAACGTCTGCAAATGCAGCTATTTTATGTTCCTCCTTCCCTACTTGAATTCCCCTAATGTTGGCATTGTCTCGAATCCCCTGTAGGAATGGCTCTAGGATAAGTACGAAAAGAAGTGGAGAGAGGGGACTGCACTGCCTAGTTCCATTTGCGATTGGTACCTGATTTGAGAGCTGCCCATTGATTCGAATGTTGGCAGTGGGGTTCGAGTATATTGCGCTGATCCACTTTTGCCAGTTGGTTCCAAAACCCAGGTATTGCAGTGTGTAGATCATTAAGGTCCAGGCTACTCTGTCAAAAGCCTTCTCGGCATCTATTGACAGAAGTAGACTGGGGCCAGCCAATCGGGTGGCGTGGTGAATCAGATTTAGGATCTTGGTTGTGTTATTTTTCGCTTCTCTCCCAGGAATGAAAGCCTGATTGGTCCGCGTGTACCTGTCTCGGCAGGAGTGGGTGAAGCCTATTGGCTAAAATTTTGGCTAAGAGTTTGAGGTCGGTATTTATTAGTGAGATCGGCCTATAACTACTACACTGGGCTGGATGGTTTTGGTAGTAGGGTGATCGTTGCATTTAGCGCCTGGGGCGGGAGAGAGTTATTTTGTAGTAGGGAGTTGAAAGATTTTAGAAAATGTGGGATAAGAGTTGTGGCGAAGGTTTTGTAATATTTTGCCGTAAACCTGTCCGGGCCTGGACTTTTTCCCAATGGTAGGTGTTTGATTGCTAGTCTGCATTCTTCTGTTGTAATGGGGTGTTCTAGTTATTTGTTCTAGTTATTTGGCAAAGCGCGATGTATCCTGTTCGTGAGGAAATTTTGTATTTCTTGAATCGTGAGGGGGTTTTATCTTATGTTATACAGGGAGTGGTAAAAGTCTTGGAAAGCTTTTGAGATGTCTGGCATCGAGTGTGAAATTGTTCCTTTGTTGTCGCAAATGGAGGTTATGAAAGTGTGTTCTCTCTGTTTGTTTTTTTTAAGGCGTTGGCTAGTAGGCGCTCACTTTTCCCTCCCTGAGCATAGTATAGGCTTTGAGACTTTGCTAGTGCATATTTGGTGTGTATGTTTAGGGTGGTGTTGAGCTCTGTTCTCTTCTCTAGTAATCTTTTATATATCGGTAATGTGATGTTTTGTTTGTGCGATTGCTCTAGGGCTCTGATTTCTTCGATTAGGTGTGTAGTTTGTGCTTCCCGTTGTTTTTGTGTTGGGAAGCAATGTGGATAATCGTTCCCCTAACAGAGCTTTTATGGGCTTCCCAAATTATAGGGTATGGTGTTTCTGGGGTTGCGTTTAGTTCAAAGTATTGGATTAGACTTTATTCGATGTGGGACTGGATTACTTGGTCATTCAAAAGGGTATCATTTAGTTTCCACTGTGTCCTAGTAGGGTATAGTGTCGGGATTGTTACGGTCATAGAGAGTGGTGCGTGATTGGACCACGTTATCGGGGCAGAGTCGCTTGCCTTTATGAGGTTTAAAAATCTGTGTGGGGTAAATAGCATGTCGATTCTGGAATAGGACCCTGAGGAGTGTGAGTAGTATGAGTAGCTTCTTTCGTTTGGGTGTGTGATCCGCCAGGTGTCATATAGTTAATAAGAGTCTAGCAGTTTCTGTATGTGGCTTCTTGTTGAGGCTTGATATGTTTGGACTTTTGAGGTGGTGTCTAATGTCCCGTCTAGAGAAACATTTAGGTTCCCTCCCAGGATTAAAAGACCCTCCGTATAAGTTTCTAGTTTACGTAGTATGTTGTGCAGAGTGGGTGTTTGTTTCCTGTTTGGGAGATATGTTTGCGAGGGTTGTGGGAACCTGCTCCCATCGTCTGTGCAGTGGTCTTTGTATATGAACGGGAGTTGTGCCAATAATAGGATCGCTACCCCTCTGGATTTCAATCCTATATAATTGCTGAAGTAGCCTTTGGTGAAGAATCTAGACCTGAGTGTGGGTGCGATATCCTTGCGGAAGTGCGTTTCTTGTATGAACACTACTTCGGCTTTCTGTCTATGTTAGTCCGTGAGGGCCATATGGCGTTTCTCTGGTGTGTTCAGGCCCCTTGCATTGTGTGTTAGGATAGTTATGGCAGCCATTGCCCTTGGGGCGGGGGGGGTGCACTGGAGTGTAGGAGGAGAGGAAATAAGGTAATGGGGAAAAGAGATGTAGACCAGTCGTAGTCTTTTTATATCGAGCCGCCCCTGTGTTGAGTATTCAAAGTGCACAATTAAAAAAAATTGCCTGCAATATACCATATTCTAGGTTAGTAAACCTTACAAATAAAGAAGACCGGAAAATAGAAAATAAAAATAAAGAAATAACAATGACCTGTTCAGTTTACAAGTTCAAGTTTTGTCAACAATTGGTCAACTATGTAAATGGGGAGACTGAGCAGGTTCTTGTATGTCCCCTCTACCTTGGTTTAGGTGTGTTTGTGTAGTTTCTATATAGGGGTATATACAGTGAGACATTGATTAGACCCCTATGAATATACATATTTTCAACATGTCCGTTAAAGATACTGCATATAGACGAAAAAATTTATACGACCTGTATTTGAGAGCTACATGGGGTCAGTTTGTGTAGTCGTAGTTTTAGGACCTAGCCGGACCACTAGGTCCACTAGGTCCTAGAGTCCCATTTGTTATGACAGTTAAAATCCCTAGTTGTTTTCTCGGGATTGAGCCTGGTGGGTTTTGTTCGAAGTCTTGTGAGCCCCTTGTTGTTTTTCAGCGGTACGGTTTCGTGCTTTGGTTGTTAGTGTAGGAGAGTCACTTTTAGCGTAGTATGTAGTATGTATAGTCCATCTAGGAATATTTCATGTTTGCATTTTAGTCCTCCCCGGAGTTTCTCGTTCTCCTCTCTTGGAGAGGGGTTGGTCTGACCAATCTTCTGTTTCTTCGATGGGGTGAGCCATCTTTGTCCGTACGGTTGTGCGGCTGAGGAGGCAGAGGGGTCTGGAGGTTACCAGTCCATTATATTAGATTCCTTTAGGTCAAAATCTTTGGTGAAGGGAGCGACATCCTGGTATGTGGAGATCGAGGGAGTGGTGCCTTTAATGTTAACAATTAGGGCAAAGGGAAAGCCCTACCTGTATCGTATGTTCCGTGCTCTTAATTGATCAGTGATGGGTCTTAGTGCTCTTCTTGCCTGGAGGGTAAGCCAGGATAGATAGTGGAGAGGAGGTGTCCCTCAGTTTGCGTATTATATCTTCTTTTAATGAGAAGTAGTGGATGCGGCAGATCACGTCTCGTGGCAATTCGCTTGCTCCAGTTTTTGGTCTTAGGGACCTGTGAGCCCTGTCAAGTAACACTGGAGTGTCTGGAGCGCAGCCTAGGATAAGGCTAAAGAGGATGGTTAGTTGTTCAGTTAAGTTTTCGTTGTCTGTCTCTGGTAATCCTCTGATGCGCAAGTTATTCCTCCGTCCCCTATTGTCTATATCATCTAGGGATCTCTGTAGTACAGTTAGGTGTCTCTCTTGAGTGTTAAGTTTAGATGATAGTTCATGAATTTGGGCCTGACATGATCCCCTTTCGTCTTCCAGATCCTGTACCCTTCTGCTCACTTGCCTGATTTCAGAGCTCAGTCCTTCCATTTTATGCTGGAACGTAGTTTCAAGTTTTCCCAGCATCTCTGCCAAATCAGTCCTGGAGGGAAGGTTCCTCAATATCTCCTTGAGGTCCAAGTCAGTGGAGTGGGATGAGATGTCTGAGGGTGTGGGACTCGGCCGTTCTGAGTTTGTGTGTGCCGCCGTCGGCGCCATGTTGGATTCCCCTGCGTCTTCCACGCGGTCGGCATATTCTTTGAACAGGCGGGTTACCGATCCCAGTTTGCCCGCAGTTTTCTTCCCCTGGGTCTGGTGAGTGTGATGACTTTTTTAGGGGTTCCCCATAGTTGCTGTCATCCTCTGTTTGCGGTGATCTCTTCCTGGTGAGCTCGGAGCAGATTCAGTGTGCGCCATTCAGTCCGGCTGCAAGCCACGCCCCCTAAAATGAGTCCTTTTTGCTCTTTATGAAAATTCTAAAGTGACAGTGCCCGACAATACATAACCATATCTGCTTCAGGACTTTTGCAGATGCAACTGATCTTGCATTATGATGAGACATACCGTGACGTGAAATATGGAAACATGGGACTGCAGGATATTGACAATAAGATGCTGATGGGCATTAATGTGACACCAATTGCCGCATTACTCTATACTCCAGTTCTAATAAGGTAATTTGCATTAAATTGTCCACTTAGTTGTGTATTAATGCTTTTATTGTGTTGTCTCTCTTTTAGCTGATATGACTTACCTTACTTTTGTCATGAATTCTAGTAATTTTTTCTTACTTTTTTCTTTTTTGTATGTCCATTAGTAATGTTTTATTCTACATTTTTAGGTTTTTTGGCACAAAGTGGATGATGTTCCTCTCCACTGGTATTTATGCTCTTTTTGTATCCACAAATTACTGGGAGAGATACTATACACTTGTCCCTTCAGCCACTGTAATTGGCGTCATGATTGTTCCGTTCTGGGCATCAATTGGCAATTATATTACTAGGTAAATTATACAACAATTGTCTTAAATTGATTTTTAAAAAATGTGTTTTTTTTATTTTTATTAAATCATATGATTAATGTATGTATGGCTTGAAAACTATACCGTTATGTCTGTTTACCTGTGACCGAACTATTAATTGTGATCAAACGAAATACTAAATTATAAATGGGTATTCTAAGCAACATGGCTGAAAGTTCTGAGGGAGGGTTAGCCCACCCCCTCAGTCAATCAATGCAGTCCAGCTTGAATAAAATGAAGATTTGAAATAATATCTTAACTGTTTGGACAGCACCAGGGCACCCTTGGCAATATTTCCACTGCAGCGAATTGGTTTTGTTCCTAAGAGTGTCCCTTAGGTGAGACCGGAGTCGACAATAACTCATCTTGGAGGGGTTGGAGTTGTAAATGACCCATTCGTTTGTAACCAGACAAAAATCTGTGTGTATAGGTAAAAGTGACAAATGTTACTCTGTTAAAAAAATGTTGTGACAATTAATACTCTATATTTACAGAATGGCTCAGAAATACTATGAGTTTGTCAACTATAAGGAGGAGAATATACGAGAGCATAACCGGGTACCACGAGGAGCTAGCCACAAATATATCATTATCTTTCAGAGCATCTTTTATGCTATCTTCCATGTAAGTGTTGCATACCATCGTCCCCATCATACCAAGCCCTGCTTTATTGTCTTTATTGTGCTAACTGTGATAACTGGCAATGTTAACTTTATGTTTATGGCCTATTGGTGTTTTCTGCTGTTATATTATCTTACTCATATCAACCTGGTGTTCTTTCTCATAAAATGTTTGCCTTTTCCTTACAGTTAAGTTTTGTGCTGTCACAGTTCCCAGTTTATTTCTTTCTCGGTAACTTTCTGTATCCATTTGAGCACACGCTCTACAATGTCCATGAATGCGGTAAGTAAGCCCTCTCTGATTAAATCAATCTAGACAGACTATCCAAGCTGTGTCTTAATCCATTTGTTGTTAATGCTTTCCCCACAGGAGCCTCCATACAGCAAGGAATTCTCCCTAAATTTAATGTCACTGTTCTTCAGACTTTGCCTTCCAGCATTAATCTCATCTATGTGGAAAGTGTTCTAATGGGGGCTGCTCTGTTATCAATGCTACTGGTGAGTAAGGAATGAAGGATGCTTAAAGGACTCGCTGTTAGATATCTTTGTACAGATTGATTCAGCTAGTATATGTATATACAATCAAAATGAGTAATTTTTCTTTACATGATTAAGGCATATAATCTTAGTCATGAGATATATATATATATATATATATATATATATATATATAATACAATGTTAAACAAAAATCTGCACACCAGTCAAGCCATAAGACTTGCTTTTCCCACAGAAATCCCAAATGTGATTCTTTGTTAAACTAATTTGCATATGCCCACCCAGAATCCTTTGCGGTTGTAACATCGCTGCAGTTTTGGGATTTCTGTGGGAAAAGCAAGTCTTATGGCTTAACTGGTGTGCAGATTTTTGTTTAACATTGTATTAATTATCCACAGACTTCGGGTGGAAGAGGTTTTCAATCACAATTTTTTCCCACCATAACCTTTGGATTTTGAGAGATATATATATATATATATATATTATATTATATTATATTATATTATATTATATTATCTCCTTGGTTTTTAAATTCAATATTTGCATATGTGAGGTCTTGTAGAATATGTGCCCATAACCCTCACTTTTCTTCATGTGTATTTAACTGTATGATATGCATGAAGGTAAGCCCTATATTTACCCTGCTATAGTAGTAATTTACCTCTATGCTAAAGGAATGTAAGGGTTATAAGTTTTAAAAACACATGCATGATGAAACGTGAACAGGAGATGGCAGACCTGTCCCTCTACATGGTCCATCCCTTTTCCTCCATTGCCAGGGTCCACCGGCAACCTATAGGAAGGTATTGATCCATCTGCCTGTGCTGCTTCTTCCGTGCTTCTTCCACGTCTTGCATAGAATATGTCCCAGCAATCTCACTGCTCAATTCTCTGCCATTTAGGAGTTAAATCAGTTTGTTTATGCAGCGCTAGTCTCAACTCCCTGCATGTAATGTTCACAGCCTTCCTAAACACTTCATGTAAAGAGAGATCTAATGTTTATACTTCCTTTTATTGCATAATCTGATTAGTTTAGAATTTCGTGCCTCCTGCATGGTTAATAGCCTTCTAGACTCTACAGGAGCCTCCTGTACATAATTAAAGTTCAATTTACAGAGCAGGAGATAAAAACTTCTAAAGCAAGCTAACATCTGAATGAAAAATAAAACCATTTGTTTTCCATACAGGCTGTATCAGTCACAGATGTGGCTACGACTGCATGGACAGAAACAAAAGTAATTTAACTCTTAAATGGTAGAGATTTGAGCAGTTAGACTGCAGGCGCATGATTTATACACCTAACTGCTTCATCAAGTTAACATTGTTTTGATGCCTATAGTGTCACTTTAATGCAGTGCTTCCAGTGCCTATAGCAAGTCCCTGCAGTCTTAACAATGTAAAAGCTGCCTTTTCAGAGAAAATGCTGTGTTTACATTGCTGCCTAGGAACCCCTATAGTGGCTGTCACTCAGACAACCACTAATGGTGCTTCTTAGTCAAGTCCTGCACAGCTCTGCATAGAGATGCTATGTAACAATGACTTGATTTTGCAGAGAAGGCACCGAATGAGCCTGAATATGGATCAAACTCTGCCAGATGGCTGAAATCTGGGCAAGGATTTTTTAAAATCCAAACTATTTGCCTGCTGTTTGCTAGCACTTCCAGCTCCTTTCCATCGACTGATCAGCAATGGCTGCCCACTTGATAGTTTTTAGTGTTTAGTAGATGTGCCCCCACCTGCCTTATAGGCAGGGCCGGTGCATGGATTTTTGGGTACATAGCCGAAGAACCTTTTTTTTTTTCGCCCTCCCCCCCTTTAAAAATAACATCTTCACCTATGTGCCTCTTAACCAGCCCCACTCCCCTCCCTGTCCATTGGTGGTCCTCTCTCTTCCCTTCCCTGTCCCTTAGTGTTCCTCTCCTCTCCCCCTCTATTCCCTGTCCCTTGGTGCACCCCCCCATCCCCTTCCTGGTGTGCCTCCTACCTCTCTTGTAGCGTTGCCGAGTGGAGCAGATCCCCTACAGGAGCTTCAGTTTTCTGTACCCGTCTGGACTGACAGGAAGTGCTCTCTCAGTGAGCACGTCCTGTCAGTCTAGCCGGGTACAGGAAACCTAAGCTCCTGTACCGCTCTCCGCTCCGCACACTGACAGTCACACACACTCAATGACAAAAAAAACACACAGACATCACTGACCGACAAAGACTCACAAGTTTTTAACTATTTGCCGTTATTATAGTTATTTACCCGTAAATTGTTTGCGTGTATAAAAGCAAGTGAATGCTAATTTGCGAATGTGCATGCTGCCAGATGCGTTCAATCCTGAAATATATATATATTTTAAAAAAAAATGTAACATTGCAGAAATATTCCAATCCCTATACTATGTATAGGGTTCAGATGTGAAAAGCATGCGCTGATTTTAATCCAGACACGGAATGCATCTAGCCAGTTGTTGCAGATTAAGCTTTAGCAAATCTGAGAATTGCCATTCTGGAACTGGAATTTGGCAATTTTTACAGGACAAAATCTGGTGTTTAATGAACTACCCTGATTGTGGGTAGAGATATCATCTCAAAAAGGCTATACTCTCCGGAAGCCCACCCATTAACGACAAATGGAGGCTCTAATAATTTAAACAATGGGGGGCAGTGCTGTTGTCCACCCCTCACCTTTCCTACCCCGGGTGGCTAGGGGTCCCCTGTTCTCTAGCTATCACCATTAAAAATGAAGGCCCCTACCTACCACCTCAAACTAGTAATAGTGGAGGGGGGAAATAAAACTAATAATTGGTAAAAAAAAATAAATATATATATATAGTGTGAGGGGGAAAAAAAGTATTTGATCCCCTGCTGATTTTGTACGTTTGCCCACTGACAAAGAAATGATCAGTCTATAATTTTAATGGTAGGTGTATTTTAACAGTGACAGACAGAATACCCCCCCCCCAAAAAAAATCCAGAAAAACGCATGTCAAAAAAGTTACAAATTGATTTGCATGTCAATGAGTGAAATAAGTATTTGACCCCTTCGGCTTAGTACTTGGTGGTAAAACTCATGTTGGCAATCACAGAGGTCAGACTTTTTTGTAGTGGGCCACCAGTGCCAGCAGGGGGAGTGCCTGGAATGACAGGTAGTCTCCCTGCTGCCTGTAGTAAAGTAAAATAAAGGTTAAAAACAGTGTAAAATTAAATAATATATACTTAGATCATATATATATATGTTTATATATATGACCTGTGTGTGTGTGTGTGTATATATATATATATACATACTATACGCATTACCTCTTTCAGCGATGGAATGTTAGTCAATGTCATATTAATCCTTGCTATCCATGTGCTCTGTTTATGCATGCCCAGCCTGCAACCCCTTGGTCACTCCAGGAAACAGAATGATGGCATAATCTTGCTACCCCTAGGGTCACCGCAAGTAAATCCATATGCTCTGTATGTGCATGCCTAACCTGCTACCCCTTGGTCACTGCAGGATTTATGGTGATGGCATGATCTTGCTACCCCTAGGGTCACAGCAAGTTAGAACCCCCGGTCACTAAAGGGGTTTCTCCAGGGGTTACCTTTGCACAGGGCCACGTACTGAAGACTTCCCAAGGGAGAGAGGCTGAACTCCCTTGAGGCAGAAGGTAACAACCCTTAGGTAAGCCAAAAAGAAAAATTCTCTACTCTTAGAATGACTAAGTCTGTCCTAGGGATAGGACAGGAACAAAAAGAATGAGGGTAGGAGGGGTTACTTATACCTTCTGTTTTATGAGGTTCCTGTCTGGTTAGGGATAGGGAGGAGCTACCCATTGTTGTCCTGCGTGGATATGGCCAGGAAAAATATATAAATACATTAAAAATGACAAAATTATAAAAAAATAAACAATTTTAAAAAATATATACTGATATCAAAATACACTTAGAACAAAATAATATATATATCTATATACATAAATATCCACACAAATAATGATTGAGCTGCACTCACGGTCTTCCCATTCAAAGTTTTCTTTAATTCATCAAGTAAACAAATCAACGTTTCGGTCCGCTCAGGGATATCAAATTCCCCTTAGATGACTGGCACCCGGCAAGTAGAAACTGTTTTTGGCTGGAAGTTTCTTGGCTATGAATAACATTAAGCTTGAGTGCAAGGACATTTTGGTTTTCATAGTATATACATAAATATATATGTATATATCACTATCTTTACCTAATATATATAAAAATATATTTTTTTTTTATATACGTGTGTGTGTGTGTGTGTGTGTATATGTATGTATGTGTATGTGTATATATATATATATATAAAATTTAAAAAAATTGGTTGAGTTCCTTGAACAAAAGGCCAAACTTCCAGTTTCATTGCCGGGTGCACACTGTGGCTTAAGATATCCAAATGACAGTTATAGTCAGTAGCACTCATGGTCTTATTAAAATTCTTCCTTTATTATTCCATGTTAAAAAACGACCAACGTTTCAGCCCAATCTATAGACTTTCCTCATGATCAATATAAAACACATAGAAATACAATCATTTATATACACTAATACTAATGAAAAATAAACTCACCCCAGGTGCTGTGAATGTTTGGCAGCATTCTGTCGATTCCTGGACACATGCGCGTGCGTGGCCCACCCCCTGCTGGGGACGCTATAGCGTAAGTGCGTAATGACGTTGTGCATGTTACCGCAGCAACGTTGCACAACAATGTGTAGCCATAGATACATACTGATACTGTCAAAACAGTGTGGAAAAGTGACGAAAATATAAAGTGCTGTGTGCTTTGCTCTCAATCTGTGAATAAAAAGTGACAATGTATCTGGGGAGTGCAGATGGATGAATCAATGCTAATGGATGCCCATATAGCCAATATTATACCTACTGTGTATCATATACACCCTGTTCCAAATTATTATGCAAATTCTATTTAAGTGTCACAAAGATGAAATATTTTGTTTTTCAATTTTACTCCTGGATGGCATTGTGTCTCAGGGCTCTTTTGATCACTGAAAACAATCTCGGACACCTGTGATAATTAGATTGCCAGGTGAGCCCAATTTAAGGAAAAACTACTAAAGGAGGGTGTTCCACATTATTTAGCAGAACACCATTTTCATGCAATATGGGGAAGAAAAAGGATCTCTCTGCTGCCGAAAAGAGTGAAATAGTTCAATGCCTTGGATGAGGTATGAAAACATTAGATATTTCATGAAAACTTAAGCGTGATCATCGCACTATTAAGAGATTTGTGGCTGATTCAGAGCACAGACGGGTATGTGCAGATAAAGGCACATTGAGGAAGTTTTCTGCAAGATCCTTGCATCGGATCAAGAGAGCAGCTGCTAAAATACCATTACAGAGAAGCAAACAGATATTTGAAGCTGCTGGTGCCTCTGGAGTCCCACGGACATCAAGGTGTAGAGTGCTCCAGAGTCTTGCAACTGTGCATAAACCTCCTATTCGGCCACCACTAACCAATGCTCACAAGCAGAAACGGCTGCATTGGGCAGAAAAATACATGAAGACTAATTTTCAAACAGTCCTGTTCACTGAGGAGTCCCGTGCAACCCTGGATGGTCCAGATGGATGGAGTAGTGGATGGTTGGTGGACGGCCACCCTGTTCCATGGCTGCCATGGCTGCTATGGGGATAAAAGGAGAGAAAGTCATGGTGTGGCCTCCATCTTCCCCTGACCTCAATCCTATTGCGAACCTTTGGAGCATCCTCAAGCAAAATATCTGTGAGGGTGGGAGGCAGTTTACATCCAAACAGAAGCTCTGGGAGGCTATTCTGACATCTTGCAAACAAATTCAAGCAGAAACTGTCCAAAAACTCACAAGTTCATTGGATGCAAGACTTGTGAAGCTGCTATCAAATAAAGGGTCCTATGTTAAAATGTAATGTGACCTGTTTAAATGTTTAAAAAGTTAAAATGTTGTTATAAGTTTGATTGAAATAGCTTTTGATTTCAGTAAATATGCTGCAAACACAACAAATGACAATTTTCAATTCTTTACAACCTATAAAGTGTTTTGAAACTTACTGTGCGTTATTATTTGGAACAGTGCATTGTAAGTTTTTTATGTTTAAAAAAATAATGTTATCATTAGGAGGTTTGTTCAATAAAATTTGAATTGTACTCTTAATATTTGATAACATGAGAATTATGCTGACTGTTATTTACATCAATTATTTAGGTAAATTAGAAAAATATAATTTGCATAATAATTTGGAAAAGGGTGTAATGTAATACATATTTACATTAATAAGCACTATATTTATTATTAAAGTGCTATTTAAGGGGCGTGGCTTAGCGAGCAACGCGGATGGTCGCACTAGTCTGAGCTCCACTCCACGTTAGCCCAAAAAAGCAAAGAAAACAGCACACACTGTGAAAAAAACGGAATCCATGACCCACCCAAAGCATAAAAAACAGGTTGAAAAAACCGACAGGTCGGGGTTCTTTGTGGCCCGAGTTTCGACGCCAAAAGTTGCAGGCCTGACAGACCAGGACCAATATGGCGACGGTGGGAACGATACACTGCCGCTGCAGACATCGCTAGGCTCCCATAACCTACCGGTAACCCAGGATTTCTTGCAGAACTGCCTGGAGGACATGTCCAGCAAAATCCTGGCGTCCATCCAAGGCACTTTGAGGGAGATCAATAAAAATGTGCAGGAGCTGGGAGACAGAACTGCGCGGGTAGAACAGCGCATGGAGCAGCAAGCATCTGCACATAATGAAATGGCAGACCAAGTGCAAAGCCTGCAGCAGCAACTGGACCAGACACAGAGAAAAATTATGGATTTGGAGGACCGATCTCGGAGACGAAACTTGAGAATCCGGGGCATACCAGAGGAAGTGACACAACAGGACCTTCACGCATACCTAATAGAGTACTTTAAGGCTTTAACACCTGACTTACCAGCGGAGGTACTGATCCTTTACAGGTACCACAGAGTCCAAAAACCAACGTTCCTGCCACAGGACACTCCAAGGGATGTGCTAACCCACTTCCACTATTTCCATGTGAAAGAGGCAATTCTCCAGGCCACAAGAGTGAGCAGAGACCTGGCCCAAAAATTCATTCACATTAAAATCTTCACGGATTTGTCAGTGGCTACGCTACAGAAAAGAAAAGAATTCAAGGCAACTACAGGAACCCTATGCAACAACAACATCCAGTACCGATGGGGATACCCGATCCGCCTACTGATCAGGAGGAATGGCATGATGACGACGGTAAACACCCCAGAGGAAGGCCGCAAACTACTGCGCAGCTGGGGCATCCCACCTACCCAAGAGGGGAAGACCTCGGCAGACCAGCACAGACTGTCTCCGGAGTGGAAGAGGACCAAAAAATGATCTGAAACGCGGACTTAATGCATGAGATGAGGAGTGACAGAGACTTAAGATGGAGCGGAAGGCCACTGGGTCGCAAGTATACCTGACACACAAGCTACACACATACACAGCTTCACAATCAATCCACATTGCACATAGTCACACCAATAAAATGGCATATGGCAATGCCCAGCACCCCATACCTGAACACAAATGAGACAAAAAAAAAAAGGGATGAAAGGAGCTGAGACCTATGTAACCCCGACTAGAAACTACAGGAGCCTTCACCTACACTCACCTCTCGCATTTCAGATATAGGCCGCACGCAGGTCATAAGACAGCGAGGAATGGGTATAGCATGCTCACCCAGTAACACTACACACACACACCACCTTTATGGTACACCACGCACCCCCCCGGCACCACATAACTGGTGCCTCACCCTTCAGTGGGTAATGTTCAAACGTACCATCGAGATATTGTTTGTTGTTTATGTTGCAATGTTTGCTTCAAATGTTATGCATATTGATTGCAATACTGTTTCTTCACCTGTATACCCTTCTACCCTAACCCACACCACCAGACAGGTTTCGAACCACACAGTAAACCTCCATGTTGAGGACTACAGGAATCAGGGAGTAGTAGCACAACACCAGAGGAGATCACATTACAAGGGATTCACTGCTATGGGGCAGGTGGGCAACAAGCAAGGGCCCTGAGTAACATGCAGGACGCACTAGTCTCCAAGAACAAAAACAAAAAACACCAGTACAGCCCAATAGAATATAAAAATATACTGCAGTAATGTAAAAGGTTTAAACACACTGGTGAAAAGGTACTGCCTCACAAGAGACCTGCGCAGAGAACACCCTGATGTGGTGTGTCTGCAGGAAACCCACCTCAAAAAGACGATCACCTTAGCACAGGCGCAATACACAGCACAGTTCCATAGTACCTCTGAGTCCAAAACCAAGGGGGTCTCCATCCTTGTCAGCAAGGATGTGTCCTTTAAACTGCTATACGTATCCATAGATAAAGAGGGCAGGTACATTATAATAGTCTGTGAAATCAATAACCTAGAACACACGATAGTCAACCTATACGCACCTAACACAAACCAGAGGAACTTTCTACATAAAGTAATCACACTACTACAACTGGTCCAGAGGGGCGTTACAATAATTTGCGGTGATTTCAACTATATACTGGACCCCAAATGGGATACCACAGTGCAGCCTAACACCCCCAGATCAGCTACCCTCCAGAGGGAATGCAAGCTGCTAACACGACTGCTTAGATAACATGACTATTATGATGCATGGAGGGTGCAGCACCCTGGGGAGAGGGACTACACCTTCTTCTCCCTGGTGCATAACACTTACTCGCGAATCGACGGGTATTATATAAAGGGCACATTCCTCAATCACATCACAGGATGCTCCATAGGCACCATAACGTTGTCGGACCACGCCCCAATAACCCTAGAACACCGTGATACATACGGTTACAAACACCACAGCCCGTGGAGACTCAATGAGTCTCTACTAACAGACCCACAATTCTGCGACAAAGTAAAAGACGACCTCTCCCACAAACCAAACCCCAGGTATCACGCCAGAAACAGTATGGCAAGCCCATAAACCAGTAATAAGGGGACTCCTTATAGGGAAAGCTGGTGCACTAAAACGAGCAACCCAAACAAAAAGAAAGGAATGGCTGACAACCTTTTACAACCTAAATAGACAGAACCAACTATCACCAACCCCACAACTAAAAGAACAAATTAGACTAGTCTTAGAAGAAGGTAAAAAGTATGATCTCGTAAAATTGGGATTCACCATGCGGAAACTTCAGGCAGCACATTACACTCAGGGAAACAGAGCGAGCAAACTACTAGCAAGGAGACTATCAGACAGGAATGCACAATCAAAAATCCCATACATTCTGAATTCGTAAGGGGAAAAAATCGTAACACCCAAGGACATCAGTGATGTATTTGCTAATTATTACGCAACCTTATACAATCTGGGACAAGATCCAAACACCCCCCAGCCATCGCAAACAAAAATAGAACAATATCTAGAGAGAGTCACTCTGCCGTGTCTAAATGAGGTACAGAGGGAGAGCCTACAGGCCTCTATCACGGAGGAAGAAGTCCTATGGGTCATAGCACACCTCCCAAATGGGAAAGCACCGGGACCTGATGGTGTGTCTGTTACACCATCCCTAAATACCAATCTGATGCTGGATCGATGCCCCCTGATTCATTCAAAGTGGCTTTTCAGTTTTTTCTATGTATGATAAACCACATGGACATGTGAGTTTATAGACCACATGGGATGTTTTACATGTTATTGTATAACGGATTTGATACTTCTTATTCCTGTGGGGATGATTAAAGAAACGGGCTGGCACTATATGATTACACACGTGACACAACCAAGACAGCGTACATAGCCACGTATTTGTGCACTTGAACCTTTGGTGTAGCTGTCTATTGGTCTGTACATACGAGTAGATCTTTTAAGTTCTTATTTCTGTTATAGCAAATCAGGGGTGGTTCCTTAACCCCTTAAGGACCAAACTTCTGGAATAAAAGGGAATCATGACATGTCACACATGTCATGTGTCCTTAAGGGGTTAAAGACTTTTGGTAGCGTGTCATCACTTGAAACCATTCCCCAATTTTATTCGGAAAACTGTTGAGTTTCGGGGAGTTGTTTTATGGTAAATCATGGGAAAAAACTGTCTTTCTGAGCTTTTACAGTGTGAAAATATATTTACTCTACTCAGGATGGATGAATTCCTTATGCAGGTGGAAGCGTATGCGCTGATCATGCAGAAAATCATCAGTTTACACAACAGGAGCAGGGGATTTTATAAGAAAAGTCAGGTGTGGAATTGCCCCATAACATTACATCTAAGGATTTACTACGTCTTCACAAAAAATATGTCAACTTGGACCTCCATGGCTTGTTTTTGTCAGACTACTACAAGGCAAAGAGAATCCCCAGAGGATTCAGGATCCTTAATGTACCTACCATAGGACGGCAAAGGCAACTGTATGCAGAGATTGGATTGGGGTCCTGAATAGGGCATCGTTGGATATGTTGTTAATCATTATTAAGGACGTGAAAACAGATATTATTGAAATTAAACAAAAAATAACTGACCTTGAAACGGAGCATGCCATCCTGTTACAAAAGCCTAATAGCCTCAAACTACAACAGAGACTTAAAGAGGACCTATTGAAATACAAGAACGAACTCATTAGATTCAAAAAACAAAAATATGAGAGAGTTCAACAAGATTTTCTAAACCACAGGGTGTACAGGTGGCTTACAGGTAACAACAGGCTAGAGCCAAGGAGACAGCATAGAAGAATTGTTTCAACAAGGCTTTATTTGTGCAAAAAAAGGGGTGATAGGTGCTCACTACAATATTAAACCCAGGATAATAGTGGGCAGCGGTAAGGATTCCCAGCCTTGTAAGTGAGATTATGTCAAAGAAAAACGAGAAGAAAGGAGACCGTGCCCCAAATGTTGATTGTAAGGTTATATACGTACACAAATCTCTTTAGAAGTTATATACACTGTGGCGGAACCAGCCTCGCCACTGGGCATTGGAGAAGATTGATTGCCAGCCTCCTGCCCTGTGACTATGGCCCCATGTTGAAATGCTGGATTTTCCCCTGCAAAGACCCGAAAGCCGGGTCATTCGGTACTTTCCCTATGTGAGCAGTGTTACCCCAGATAGCTATACCATGGAGCCCATTTGTATAATGAAAGACTATGTGAAAGACTTTGGCTCCATGACAACTGAACTGTATGTGATCTGAGCGCCATTCAGTAATAATTTGCGCTCAGATCTAAGCTATCTGGGGATATGTTGAATGTACACGTTTTATGCAATCGCTGCACAGTTATATATTTTTATGTATTTTATTGTATTTTGCTACCATGTGGCTAATGGAGTTTTGCCTCTGTCCTTGGAGATAATTGGATTACTTCCCAATTATCTCCAAGATAGAAGACTCTGTGGAACTGGTTTTGGGCAGAAAAACCATGCTTCATTTTGTCAAATAGGACGTTCCCTTAACTTTTTAACCCTTGAACCGATTGCCCTGATTTTTGAGTATGTGTATATTTCAAGCATGCAGATTCTGAAAATGTATGTTTTATGTGAATGTCATGTATATTTTGGAAGTTATTTTGTAAACACTGTATTGCTCTACCTGTGATAATTATATTACTCATTTTGTTCAGTAATCATATCACAGGCAGAGGGGGGGATTTTGTGTGGGAGTGTCTGTGTGTATTGTACGGATTGATTGGTTGTATTTCAAAACCATGTGGGCAGTACTATGTTTGTGGATTGTGAATAAAAGAGGCTGTATGAACCAGTACAGTCAGTTCTGCTTGACCTCAAAACGAAGTGTCGTCTCGTTATTGGGGGAACTGGATTGTATGCTGATTGCCAGGAGTGTAAGCTGATTGTATGCTTTTCAGCATCCATATGCTTGAGAGCATTCATATGCTTCTCCGGTTCGGTGGTTGTGGTGTCTGCTGCAGTGCTTGGAGTCCTCAGGAAGCACTAGGAGCATCCTTCAATGGAGGTACCCAGTCGGAGTGCCAGGTGATCCATTACATACACAATCGACCTCAAAGAGAGAATACAATAGTGCAGTATGGTATATACAGTGAGTGAAATGCTGGAATAATTATATATATTTGCACTCACATTTAGTAGAGCTAACTAGGAGCTCTACCGTGATACGCCTGGATGGAACAATCCCCGTCTAAGGATATTTGTAGAAGCAGGTATCTCCGGTAATCCAAGATGTAATGCGATATGCAATGAGTATATAAAAAAAACACAGAGAACAAAGCTCCAATGGTGAAGTATGTACCAATCAATTAAAAAGGTGAAAAAATAAACGTATGGTACTCACATATCCTAGAGCAGATTTCTGGTCTCCTTTCTTCTCATTTTTCTAAGGCTTTATTTGTATTGGCTATACATGTCTAGCAATATGAAAATCTAAATTAGCAATACATGAGACTCGCAGGTCCCTCCTTGAAACATTCAACAGTGCACAAAGCCCCAAAAAAATCAAATTATATTGTTAAGAGAGTTATTGGAAAGCTACCATTAGTTCATATGAACATTCCAGCTATGTAACCCTTCTAATGTGGGTATGGGCCACAGCGGACTCTAGGTTCCCCACTTATATTATAACTGATAACCCACTGATGATAAAATGCCCCCTTCGTTAATTTTATTAAATAGCCTCACCCATTGGCTACTGGTAAGGGCTGGTGGTTAAAGAGTGATCTGTCCACCCTCTCCACTCAATGCCTACTATGTCATCTCCAGATATTTGGGGATGGGGCTTTTTTTATTAAATGGGCAGCAATGGCAAGTAGTACTTAAAACTAATGTTCGCTTGCATAACGATGTTTCTTTTTGGATTCTATATTGGCTTGCTGCAGAGCCAGAGTCTAGTTTTTCACCTTTAAAAACAAATAGTATAACTGATAATGCTTTACCAGTCTTTGGAATAGAGAAGCATCATGGAATCTGCAGTTCTATTTCATGTGAAGATTAGATTTGTGCATTAATGCTTTTCAGATGCTATCAGTTTTTTAATCTGCACCCGAAATGGATCGATCCATTGTGGATTACCAGTGGAATCTTATCCAGTGATTAAGACCCACAGGTAAATACTAGACGGATTGATTAATTTACGTACAGATTAAAATGCATTTGATTCATTGGTAGCAGCTAAAAAGCATTAATACTAGTGGAAATATATATGTTGCCCGACCCAGGCTTACACCTTTTATGTCAGCAGCTCGCTTCTCATTCTTTATCTCTTCTCTGCCAAAAAAAGAAAGCCAGAAAATGTAATAATTTAGGATTGCAATTATTAGCACTATTATTATTTTTTTCTTGAGTTAATAGACTATGAATAATTACTAAATAAATGGACTATTAAATTACTTAAGTTACAGAGGTAATTTTTTTTTGTTTTCAACTTCTTTATACAGATCCTGGTACTCTGTGGCTCTGCATATCGTCCTACTGAGGAAATTGACCTACGCAGTATTGGCTGGGGTAATATCTTCCAACTGCCTTTCAAACATGCCAGAGACTATCGTTTACGGTTTCTGGCACCTTACTTCCTATACAGTGGCTTTGAAGTACTCTTTGCCTGTACAGGTTTCACATTGGTAAGTATTATGTGCCTCTTGGTCACCATGGTAACCTGAGTGTTTATTGCCCCATATTAAAGTACTACTAGTGATCTAGTTAATAGAAAGGAGAGTTACCATGGTGGCCGTTACTTATGTTTGTTTACACATATGACATCATGGGTTAGCTGTCCATGCCTACCTTTTATCAATACACCCCCTTTCCTTTCTCCAGGTCTGTTTAAATGTTGTTGGATTGCATACATTTGTCTTGATACCAGATAGCCACTAGAAACACTTCTTGCAGTTTTACAAAGTTTAATGATGCTGGACGTCCTCACGTTTTGCATGAGTATGTTCAGCATGTTGAAAAAAGGCATATGGGGAAGGACTAATGTGTTTCCAGATTGCGCTCATGTCTGCAGAGACAAAGCCTGATCCAGCACGAGGGACATTAGTGTTTAAAGAGTTTTTTTTACCGCTTTACATGGCCGAGGTGGCGCAGGATCAGAGGGACATTATAGTGTTTAGAATACAGCTTTGTAGCTCCTTTATGCATGTGACCTCAGATCCTTTACTTCTCAACAGCTCCTCTGCTCAACCCAGACTGCCTTATAAATATTTTGTTGGCCTCTGTTAATTAGCTGTCTTAAAAATTTGTGTGTATGGACTCAGCAGTCTGTGTGTGTATGAACTCAGATGTCTGTGTGTGTGTGTGTGTATGAACTCAGCAGTCTGTGTGTGTGTGTGTATGGACTCAGCAGTCTGTGTGTCTGTGTGTGTGTGTATGGACTCAGCAGTCTGGGTGTGTGTATGGACTCAGCAGTCTGTGTCTGTGTGTGTGTATGGACTCAGCAGTCTGTGTTTGTGTATGGACTCAGCAGTCTGTGTGTGTGTGTGTGTGGACTCAGCAGTCTGTGTGTGTATGGACTCAGCAGTCTGTGTGTGTGTTTGTGTGTGTGTGTGTGTGTGTATGGACTCAGCAGTCTGTGTGTGTATGGACAGGGTCAGGGTCAAACTGTGGCGAGGGCGGGGTTAAATGTGCCCCCCTACTTTTGTCCCTGGCCCACCATGTGCCCCCCCTAAAAATGAATCCTAGAGACGCCACTGCTAACAGCTAATGCTTTTTAAAGAGACACTCTAAGCATGTTTTTGTCTGGCAATAAAAAGCATTGCTGTTTCTGAGAAACTAAAATATTTACACTGTCTTTCATTCAACTCTCCCATTAGTTAGCTTAGTAAATTTATAATTGTTACATTTATTCATCTCCATATTCTTTTTTTAAAATTTGTATCTTCCTGATCATATTTGATTTTATTGCGTTAACAGTGAAACTAGGCCAATAAAAGAGTTGTGAGAAATTATTTACAATTCAGTTTCAAGCTTCCCTGTCCTTATCTAATTCACATTTTCAAGCTTCTAAAACCAGATTACCGTATATGCTTTGTGTTTGTTTTTCTTTTATAGTGTTACGGAGTGTGTTCACTTGGATTGGAGAAGCTTCCATTTCTTCTGACTGCCTATGGTCTATCAGCTTCTGTCTCCTCCATCCTTGGCCTCTGCATGCTCCGCCTGCCAAGACAGGTTCCTTTGGTGGCTGGTGCATTGCTTCATATTTTTATTCTGATTGGTCTGTTTTTCTGGAGCCCAACACCCCGCCTGCAGTCACAGGGTCCTTTACTGTACACAGTGGCTGTATTGTGGGGCATTGGGAGTGCTTTGAACAAGACTGGCCTAAGTAGTGAGTATGGACTAATTGGACTGTAATGTTATGCAAAGGGAAAATGAAAATAATACAGTGGACAGTGGACTATAGCATTGTTTTGAAATATTTTGAGTGCAGATGATGCAGTAATACTGTGTTTGGCATGTGTTACACCTTTCCCATTTTTTATTTATCTAGTTATAATCGGAATGTTCTATGAAGATAAAGAACGGCAGGACTTTGTGTTTACCATTTATCACTGGCTTCAAGCACTTGCCATATTTATTGTGTACCTGTGGTCTTGGCTTCCAATGATGGTGAGCAATCCAAACAGGATCTCAACTGCAAATCTAATTAAAATATTATAATTTTTTTTAGAAATAACAATTTTTCTCTCCTCTAGGCCAAGCTGGGAATTATGTTAGCATCCGCAATAATTTCTGTACTTTCGTACTTATGGATGGAGCGCAAACTTCGCTACGGAGTACGTTTTCGTGTTCCAAAAATACCTGCTCCACGCCACAAAGTGAAAGGTTACCGGTATCTGGAGGAGGAAAACTCTGACGAGTCTGGTTCAGATGGAGAAGAAATTGAAAGTGGGGAGAGTGAAACAGAGGAAAATAGGGGTGAACATCGAGATCATAGACGCAGAAAGCGGAATAATAAGCAATGCTATGAGCAAGAAGTGCAGGAGGAATAATTATACCTCCCTAGGCAGGATACATATCATAAAACTAGCTTAGACGGGTAATGGCAGGACCATGTTTGCCAAGTCAGTTATGCTTTCAATATGGCTACTCGGCCCTTAAATTTGAATTCTAACTTTGAATTCTCACTTATGTAAATTCACTGCATTACCTCCTTTTTCACAGTTTTGCCTTAAATGTGTACATAGTAAGTAGATAATAAGTATAATAAGCAGCAATAACACAGTTAGGAACCTGCAGTGTAGCACAAAACACCACAAAGCACTGACTGCAATAAATCACCAACATGTTCCAATTTGAGAAACCACAGTTAATAGTAGTGCGCCTATAAGACGCTAGTGCCTGAGTAACCACAGTGATTCAATGGTCACAACAGCGCCAAATATAAAGTACTGATGCAAGTATTAAAGTACTTCAAATGCATATAAATTATAGACCTCCATTGAAGGACATAATAATTAGCTGCACAACCTAATGTTGGAGGTGTGCTTCCAGGTAGATGTATACCACAGTTACATGATTGTCTACGCATTTCATCACTTTTGGTACTTTGCCAAGACAATGTGATAATGACTGAATGAGACTGCACTACTAAATAGCCTGCACAGAACACTGCCACAAACAAGGAAGGCACAAAACCAGTAACACACAATTAATTAAATTAGCCTATAACCCTGCCACTATAAGCCTATAACCCAGCCACTATAAAACTCCCTTCTTTTTTTTTAGAGGGAAAGGGAACATAAAAGTATGTATATTGTATTTAATGGAATAAATAATCCCTATATAAACAGTGGGTTTAAAATGCCCGTATGATATAAAAATCCTAATTGCTACCAAGCGGCCAGCCTCAGTCCATCCTAAAACTATCAAAATAAAGGTGATATCACCTAAATCGCAATGTGTATATACAATAATCAAAAATATTATGTTTGAAAAAAAGCAAACATTCTTTCCTTTTTGAAGTGATGGGAAAGAATCCCAAAAATACCAAAATCATGTGTGTATTAACTATTAAAAATACAATGAATTACATAAATATATACATTACAAAATCCCTAGATTTATATCCTCAATAAGGCATTTGGGGTTGATGGTCTCTAAATTAAAAATCCACTTTGATTCTGCCGTAAGCAATCTACTTATTTTATCTGCTTTACCCGACTTTAATCTGTTCCGTGTCCATCACCATTTAATCTCCTAAAGTGCAGTGCCATGAATGTCTTTGAATTCTTAATAACAATGCAGTGCTTCCTAAATCTCTCTTAAATATCTAGAGCAGGGGTACCCAAAGGGTAGATTCCCAGATGTTTTAAAACTACAGCTTCCACGATGCTTTGTCATTCTAAGTGCATGCAAAGAATCATGGGAGTTGTAGTTTTACAACATCTAGGGAATCTTAAGTTTTGGGCACCCTGATCTAGAGTTTTGGCCCACAGATTGTAGGCTACAACTACACTGGAAAAGACAGACCAAAAACTACTGTGAATCAACTTGTCAGGGTATATTTTAAACCAAGTAAAATGAAGCAGTATCTCCTAACTCCTGGTTTAAATTTTGGGAGATGACACATTTTTACTCCTACACTTAATATTACCTGAGATTGTATTTATATCTAAGATCTCCTCTATGTTATCCTCCACACAAATGCAAACTGATTCCGGGCACATGACCAAACTGGAGCAATCTTATCTACAATAAACACTTTTTTGTTTTTTAACGCCTTCTTCACTTCTCTGTCTATGACCGAGGGATCCTCATGATTTCTTGATTCTTCTCAACCTTTTTGTCTATTCTATACTTTTATACTGTATACTCTCAGTCTTCTATTTTCTCCACATTCAATGAATAATTACTGCAGAACATTTCTTCTAAATTCCATCTTCAGTATGCATGGTATGATGATTGTTTAAAAATACAACTTATACTGGCACAATCATGGATGCATTTCTATTATTTCACAAGTTTTCTCCCCTCAACCTTTTGTCTCAATGTACAATTCCCCTCTAGATTGCAAGCTCACAGGCAGGGTTCTCTTCTCCTTTTGTTCCAGTGTGTCTAAATATTTATCCCCTGTTTGTATAAATACCAATGTTATTTTTGCAAATATTGAAAGTGTTTTGGATAGGATTGCTAAATAATAACTGTTAAAATAAATCTATTATTTTTTTTTCAAGTTCATGGCTCTGGTGTAGGTTATCATTAATGCCACTGGTAAAATAACCTTTAACTATGGATCCTGTCTCAATAAACAACATTTCTTTAAAATGGCAGCAGTATCCTCATATCTACAATTGAATCTGATCACAAAGGTCAGTCCATCTTTACTACTAATTCAGTGGTACCTCACATCTTTCATATTCTGTTTCATCACATCACAGAAGGTATTATTAAAACATAATAGTCATCAGAAGCTGTACTCACCGAATCAAGCTACATTTTGTTTAATTTCTTATCACTCTTTATGAATAACCTCCAGGAGCTGTCCTTTTCTGAAACATCAAAGCCACAGGAAACTCATTCAATGCAAAGGGTCTTTATTATGCAAATTGGTTCCCAAATGTGAGGAGTAACACACAGCAAGCTTTAAGTCTTCCTAATGTTTGTTCCCCATAGCAAACGTCACATTTATTATAATAGGGAGGTATGTTCCCTTTGACAAGAAAAAGAAAAAAACAAAAAAGAAAAAACCAAAAGGTACAAAATAATGTGAATCACCAAAAGTGATAATAAATAAGTGAATACAAACTGGATTATGTTGATATATTTTAGATTCAGAATTATATCTGTAAAAAATACACAAACAATATATAGTGTAATATTGTTAAAGCCACTTGGAAATTATAGGTGGTAGAGAACTCACAAAAATAGGATGAGATCAGGCATAGTCCCTCTGTATTAAGGGACTGGAAAGTATGAAGGACCCCCAGCGATGAATCCAATTATATGATAGCAGCAAATCTTCTAATTCACTCCAAATAGAAAGAGGAAAATAGATAGTGCAGATTGTATAAAAAGTAACAATTTATTACATGTATTGCACTTACAATGTATCAGAATAAAAGCAGCTTGTCTCCACACTGGGTGGTATTCATTTGTAGCAGCTGAACCAATCAAGATACAGGATCTGGAGCAGTGATAGTAGCAACCAAACAATATTAAAATAAAGTTCAACACAAAAACAAAATAAAAACAATTCCAAAGCGTTACGTCCTCCTCTGGACTTCCTCAGGGATGTGTAGCTGTAATGGGATTGAGAATCTTCTTATATATCCGTCTTTTAATCGCTCAAGAGTTCGCCGGTGTTGGCGTGCGTTCCACCGTGGAACGCATGTTACTTCCGTATGACGTCACTTCCGGTTTCGCAGATAGAGTGAAAACACAGTATATATCGTTTATGGCAGCTCGAATAACATTTGCAACATGAGATTACAGATGGAACAGATGATATTTTTGATATTTATCCACAAAGAGCACATCTTACATAAACTTATAAATATAAACATATAAATTACCAGACATTGGGCATATCCATATTGATATACATATGTATGCGTCACTCAAATGTATATAATATACCTTTTATAAGCATTTACTTTTTAAATTACATATATGAATTTGATTAATTAGAATGATTACAATAAATTTGAATAAATTTAAATATTTAGAATTTGAAGTATTTAGAATTTGAAAATTTGAAATTTAAGAATATAGAATTTGAAAATTGTATGAAAAGTTTTATAAAGAATTTTTGAGAAATTTAAAGGTATACACAATCAATACTAAACTAATCAATTTAATATGCTCAATTTCTCACAAAATTTAATAATATATTATATACACCATCCAATAAATCTTTCATATATTTAGTTGTCCTCTAACTATTACTGTATTTTGAAAGGATGTTTCTGTAATAAAAAGACGAAAATTAATCATCAAATATAAACCAATATAATAATAATCATAGATATAAAATAAATATAAATATAAACATATAAATAAATTAAATCAATAAAATAAAATAAAATTAATCCCATTAAATCTATTTCTTGATTCAAAACAAATTTTAAAGTTTTTAAATAAAAAATCCATTGGGCTTCCTTAATATTTAACAGAGTTTCAATATTACCTCCTCTCCAATGTTTTTCTACTTTATCTATCCCAATTGCTATCAATGTATTCCATTGGAAATGTGGACAGTAGGCACAATGTCTAGATACACTGTGTTCTCATTTTTTATTTCTTATATTTTGAAAATGTTCCAATAATCTCACATGCAATTTTCGAATCGTACGACCAATGTATTGAGCTCCACAACCACACTGCAGTAAATAAACTACGTGGGTGGTGGAGCATTGAATAAATTTATTGATCTGATAAGTTTGTTGAGTATAAGTGCCTAAAAATACATCTGTGCTCTTTTTTTGAAAATTGCATGTGGAACACCTTCCACATCTAAAAAAGCCTTTTAGTATTTGATTTGAAAAAATATGTGTGGGTTGAGAAGAAGTAATTTTCTTGGTAGGAAGAATACTGGGAGCTAATTTGTTCTTTAAATTATCTGCCTTTTTGTAAATTACAGTAGGCTTATTTGGTAAAATATTATTCAAAAAAAAGTCTTTTTTTAAGATGTGCCAATGCCGATTAATAATGTTTTTAATCTCACGAGCTTGAGAATGATATCTGGTAATAAAAGCAAAATTAAATTCATTTGAATCTTCATTCTTTTTTCTATCTTTATCTCTATTTGATGAAAGCAGCTTATCTCGATCAGTATTAATTAAAGAAGACTCTGTTTCATTTTTAGATCATATCCCTTTTCTATATATCTTTGTTTAATGATTTTAGATTGGGTTTTAAAAGTTTCTATATCTGAACAGTTTCGTCTTAATCGTGTTATTTTCTATATAAATTGTTAAATCTAAAAAATCTATCTGGGTAGGGTGACAAGTGGAGGTGAAGCCCAAATTATTTTCATTATTATTGATATACAAGATATACAAATTTCTTACAGCTATGTGGTGTCGCCATGGGGACGAGGTTCGCCCCCAGCTTCGCTAATCTGTATGTCTCCCATTGGAAATCTAGATGTATATCTTTGGGTCAGACGCTGGGGGGGAGCCTCGTTCTATGGTGACGCTACATAGATGACGTCCTTATCATCTGGGACGGCGACCAAGCAAGTTTAGATAATTTCATCTTGTATATCAATAATAATGAATATAATTTGGGCTTCACCTCCACTTGTCACCCTACCCAGATAGATTTTTTAGATTTAACAATTTATATAGAAAATAATATCTTAAAAACAAAAACTTTTTTCAAAAATACTGATTGTAATACTGCTATAGATCGTGCCAGTTTACATCATCCTATGTGGTTGAAAAATGTCCCAAAGGGACAATTAACACGATTAAGACGAAACTGTTCAGATATAGAAACTTTTAAAACCCAATCTAAAATCATTAAACAAAGATATATAGAAAAGGGATATGATCTAAAAATGATTGAAGAAACAGAGTCTTCTTTAATTAATACTGATCGAGATAAGCTGCTTTCATCAAATAGAGATAAAGATAGAAAAAAGAATGAAGATTCAAATAAATTTAATTTTGCTTTTATTACCAGATATCATTCTCAAGCTCGTGAGATTAAAAACATTATTAATCGGCATTGGCACATCTTAAAAAAAGACACTTTTTTGAATAATATTTTACCAAATAAGCCTACTGTAATTTACAAAAAGGCAGATAATTTAAAGAAAAAATTAGCTCCCAGTATTCTTCCTACCAAGAAAATTACTTCTTCTCAACCCACACATATTTTTTTCAAATCAAATACTGTAATGGTATTTATTAATTAATGACTTTACATCATAAAGAAAGCATTTTTAGTGTAATGCTTTGGGGGCACCACTAGGGGGAGTGTGTAGGAAGACATGTGCTTCTGGCAGTGACATCACAGGCCAGCCTACTTACACTGAATAAAAACCAGATGTAGGAGAAACTCTGTCTCTTTTTTTTGCCTGTACCTGACTGATCATGTAGTACCAGCTCTGACTTAGCCCCAGCCCTTTGGCTGGGGCCTTGTAAGTAATATGAATCCATTGTAACATTTAGCAATTGTAATAGCCTTTTGTATAATATTTAGCAACCAATAGCGTTTTGTGTAGTATTGTATTGTATAATTATTGTGGTAAATTGACATTCATCTAGCATCTGTTTATTTATTATAGTTATATTAAATATACATTTAATATTACAACGTTTTGTGTATTTTCTATCCACATATTCGACCATAATACCATGAATTATAAAAATATTAATGTTGTTCCGTATTGCTTAATTATTATGTATTAAGAGATTAATATTCATATTTAAGTCACGACCACAACATATGGCGTAGTCGGCAGGATTATGCTTGAATATTGGGGAAAATATAAATGTTATGCATTTTGCTTAAATAATACAGTAAATTGTCTGTCTGTATACAAATGAATAAATGAATGATGATTTGGTTTTAATGGAATGAATGCAGATAGCAGATAGGGATTAGATATTTGTTTTTAAGGTATCTCTTGTTGTAGAACATAGTGATGAATTATTGTGTTGCTTGTTACGTTTTACCAACCTTTGGTCATTTTTATATATAAAACAAAAAACAATTTTACTTTTTGTCTGACCATGTGGGTTTCAAGCCACCATTGACCACATGGTGTGAATTACTTGAGGCCTAGTACCATTTGCATAGGAAAAGACTTTTCACTAAACCTGTTCACCAGGTTTTTATTGCTGGTTACTTGACCTGGTTTGTTTGTTTGTGTACAAATGTACATTTGATTGGCATTCAAGGATTTGTTTAGTTGAAAAGATATTTGGACTAAACTGATTAAATTAGTAGTTAAGAAAAAGATAAGTTTAGTAAAGCAGATTGAGTGAACAATAGATTTGTGAGCGTATACATAGATTTTTGGTATGGATATATATATATAATTATGACTCATGAAGGAAAGACCATTTTTTTTTATTTAACAGCTGTGTGAACATGTAGTGTACATCCTAGTCAAAACAGTGAAGCACGTGTTTGGGGGATGGTTGGTGATGTAAGAGACCATCCTTTTCAGCTACAGCTGGGGGAGAATTTGTCCTTGTTGGGGGCGGGTAGTCTTACCTGTATGAGAAAATAAACTGCATAGTAAAGGATGCATTGTTTTGTAAATGTAATTGCCTAGACTAATCAATTTGTGGAGTGTTTTTCAGCTTCCATATCCAGGACTAAGAAATTACAGGATATGTGTTCAGGAACTGGTAACATAGAAACATAGAAACATAGAAACATAGAATGTGACGGCAGATAAGAACCATTCGGCCCATCTAGTCTGCCCAATTTTCTAAAAACTTTCATTAGTCCCTAGCCTTATCTTATAGTTAGGATAGCCTTATGCCTATCCCATGCATGCTTAAACTCCTTTACTGTGTTAACCTCTACCACTTCAGCTGGAAGGCTATTCCATGCATCCACTACCCTCTCAGTAAAGTAATACTTCCTGATATTATTTTTAAACCTTTGTCCCTCTAATTTAAGACTATGTCCTCTTGTTGTGGTAGTTTTTCTTCTTTTAAATATAGTCTCCTCCTTTACTGTGTTGATTCCCTTTATATATTTAAATGTTTCTATCATATCCCCCCCTGTCTCGTCTTTCCTCCAAGCTATACATGTTAAGATCCTTTAACCTTTCCTGGTAAGTTTTATCCCGCAATCCATGAACCAGTTTAGTAGCCCTTCTCTGAACCCTCTCTAAGGTATCAATATCCTTCTGAAGATACGGTCTCCAGTACTGTGTACAATACTCCCAAGTGAGGTCTCACCAGTGTTCTGTACAATGGCATGAGCACTTCCCTCTTTCTACTGCTAATACCTCTCCCTATACAACCAAGCATTCTGCTAGCATTTCCTGCTGCTCTATTACATTGTCTGCCTACCTTTAAGTCATCAGAAATAATCACCCCTAAATCCCTTTCCTCATATGTTGAGGTTAGGACTCTATCAAATATTCTGTACTCTGCCCTTGGGTTTTTACGTCCAAGATGCATTATCTTGCACTTATCCACATTAAATGTCAGTTGCCACAATTCTGACCATTTTTCTAGTTTACCTAAATCATTTGCCATTTGGCTTATCCCTCCTGGAACATCAACCCTGTTACATATCTTAGTATCATCAGCAAAAAGACATACCTTACCATCAAGACCTTCTGCAATATCACTAATAAAAATATTAAAGAGAATGGGTCCAAGTACAGATCCCTGAGGTACCCCACTGGTGACAAGTCCAAGCTTCGAATATATTCCATTAACTACAACCCTCTGTTGCCTGTCACTCAGCCACTGCCTTACCCATTGAACAATATTTGAATCCAAACTTAAAGATTGCAGTTTATTGATAAGCCTTCTATGTGCAACAGTGTCAAAAGCCTTACTGAAATCTAGGTAAGCAATGTCTACTGCACCACCCTGATCTATAATTTTAGTTACCCAATCAAAAAAATCAATAAGATTAGTTTGGCATGATCTCCCTGAAGTAAACCCATGTTGTCTCTGATCTTGAAATCCATGTGTTTTTAGATGTTCATCAATCCTATCCTTTAACATGGTTTCCATCACTTTCCCCACTACTGAAGTAAGGCTTACTGGCCTATAGTTGCCCGACTCCTCCCTATTACCTTTCTTGTAAATGGGCACAACATTCGCTAACTTCCAATCTTCTGGGACTACTCCTGTTAACAATGATTGGTTAAATAAATCTGTTAATGGTTTTGCTAGTACACCACTAAGCTCTTTTAATAGCTTTGGGTGTATTCCATCAGGTCCCATTGACTTATTTGTCAAATGAACAAAAAAAAAAAATGGTAAAATAATTCCTTGTTGTCCTATGTGGTCTGGTTAGAATATTTTAACAAGTTAGCATTTTTAACAAAGTAAGTGTATGGGCTCAGATTGAGATTTATATTCTTTTAGAAGCCATCTATATAACTGATTTTAATATTTCCATCCTATGAATATACGTGTCCGGAGAAGGGGGAGCATACCCAATAGTTGTTGTGCAGTTCTATCCTGTATTTGAAATCCTGTATTACTTATAAGTAGCCTTTTGTAACTTATTAGTAATAGTTTATATATATTGCTCTGGGAAAGGGATATGCAAAATCTCTGAGAGACCAGGAAATATATAAAATAAGGACGTAATACACTAGTGGTAGGGTGGCCTATCATGACCATAGAGACCCTTGGTGACTAGTTTTCATTGTATATTGCCTGGGAAGGGGATAAGCTATTTAATAGAAATTCCTGAGAGACCAGGAAATATACAATAAGTGATACATGAGTGTACTGGTTAAATTGCAGACATATTGGCCCATAACCTTTAATCGAGCCGGAAAAGAGGTTGCTGTATGTTTGCAACTCTATAATTTTGCGGGGGCAGTCACCCCCATGTGGAAAGCCACTGCCACCACAGGGTGGATAGTTGTGCAGGCCCTTAGCCGCGAGGTGCAGACATGTCCGTGGAAAGGCTAAAAATTAATAGGGAGTCACTCATAGCTGTCAGAAGTTTTGCACTTTGAGACATATTGACCTATAGTCTTTCATCAGAGGCGGAAGAGGTGTTGTGGTTCACTCCTCTATAATTTATCCAAAGGGTGGAGAGTTATTAAACATGTTTAAGTTGGCTAGAAATTTGTTACTCATAAGTCCATTTGAAATCCTGTATTGCTTAAAAGTTTGTGTCAGTTTTATATTGCCCTGGGAAGGGGATTAGCTATTGTATATCCCTGAGAGACCAGGAAATATAAAATAAGTAATACGTGGGTGTATTGTGTATCTGCCTAGCGGGTGAACTGCCATAACGTGGGCTGTAAACTTAGTTACAGTAGCGGGTGGGGAACTTAGGCTAGGGGGTACTGAGCATATCTGCCTAGCGGGTGAACTGCCATAACGTGGGCTGTAAACTTAGTTACAGTAGCGGGTGGGGAACTTAGGCTAGGGGGTACTGAGCATATCTGCCTAGCGGGTGAACTGCCATAACGTGGGCTGTAAACTTAGTTACAGTAGCGGGTGGGGAATTTAGGCTAGGGGGTACTGAGTATTGGACTTTTAGTGTTGTGTACTCCTGAATTGCAAGGAAGATGCAGAAAGCAGCTATTAGTTGATTGTTTATTTTAAGAGCCGAGTAGAAAATTAAGAAAGTTATCTTGTTGAACAAATTGTTTATAAAATGAAAAGTTTAAGGAATGTATTTATATGTGTGTATATATGCTAAGTAAAGGATTTGGCAGTATACGCTATAAGTGACTAGGAAAAGTAATCCTGATCTGTTTTCTTACCTTTTTCAGATATAGCAGAAACCAGGGGTGGACATTGAATCACAGATAGAATACCAGATGGAGACCAGTAATTAAATGTTGACCTATGATTAGCTATTGAATGTGTTTTATTTTATTGTGTCTATTTAACATGTCTATGCTATGATTTTGTGCATACTATTCTCTTATTTTTAATGATTGTATTGCAATTGAAAACTTGATGTATTGTTGTTGCATGTATGTATGTATGTATGCTTGCCTGGGAAAGGAGAATTGACCCATAGGGACCAGGGGGTATTTGTGTAAACAGAACTGGGGTGGGAGGGCTCCAACGAGGGAACCCCATTGTCCAGTAGGTGCTTGATTTGTGTCTCTGTAAAGTGCATGAGTGGACGGAAGAGTGATAAGAGGGATAAGAGAAAGTACGCATTTAGGGTTATCTATACATGTTTAAATAGAAGGGTGGTAAATTGAAATTTATTTTGTTTTGGTGGGTGTTTAGGTTAAATTGGTTAACCCCTTCCCGACCCAGGACGGTTCAGGACCGTCATCGGCATTTTTGGCTTGCCGACCGATGACGGTCCTGAACCGTCCTAACGGTCTGAGCTACTTACCTGATCGCCGTCGTTCCCCCGACGTTCCACAGCGATCACATGGTCACAATAGGTGTCCATGTGTCTGCCTGCAGGGGGACTGCCTGTGCTGACAGGCAGTCTCCCTGTGTCAGGAAACTGACAGGGATCCAATACGCAGAGTGCGCACAGAAGGAGGTACGTATACCGGACCTTAGAATGGCCGGACTAACGTAAGGACAAGCAAGAATAGTCAAAAGGTAAGCCGAGGTCAAGGGAGCCGGAGGACAGGTAAGCGAGATACAAGCCGAGTCAAAGGAGAGGAGAGGACAACAGGACAAAAGACAAGCAAGGGTCAAAACCGGAAACACAAGATAAAGAACGCGCTGAGTGACTAGCAAGCTAGAACCACGACAGGGCAATGAGCAGTAGTAAAGGTTTCCTTTAAATACCCTGTTACCTAAATAGAGACCACGCCCCCAAAAGGTCCGGAATAGCGGTTCCCGGCACTTTATGTAAATGCCGACGTCATGACGTCGACGCTAGCCGTCGCGTCATAAAAGGGGGAGGAGCTAGCGCGGCCGGCGCGAAAACGGCCGGAATATGCCGAAAATGCTAGGGGCAGGGAGCTCCTAAACAGAGAGGATGTCTTCCCTGGATTCAGCACCAACAGGTACCCTGACAGTACCCCCCCTTCTAGAAACGCCCACCGGGCAGATGGGACCGGGCTTAGAAGGAAAATGAACGTGGAATGCCCGAAGAAGACGAGGAGCATGCACGTCTATACCAGGAACCCAAGACCTCTCTTCTGGACCATAACCTTTCCAGTCTATGAGGTATTGCAGCTTCCCCCTAGAAATACGAGAATCCAGGATGGACTTGATGATATATTCCTCCTGACCATCCACACGGACCGAGGATGGAGGAGCAGAGCGGGAGGAAAATCTGTTACAAACAAGAGGTTTCAATAAAGACACATGAAAAGAGTTAGGGATGTGTAGAGTAGGAGGTAGATCCAGCAAATAAGAAACCGGGTTGATCCTCCTCAGTACCCTGTAAGGACCAATGTAACGAGGAGCAAACTTCAAGGAGGGAACTTTCAGGCGAATGTGTCTGGTACACAACCAGACCCTATCCCCCGGAGAAAAAATAGGAGCAGGACGTCTACGCCTATCAGCATGTGACTTAAACACCGCGGAACTACGTTCAAGAATTTGTTGAGTCTGATCCCACAACTTTCTCAGGTTGGCTATATGAATATCAACCGACGGTATACCCTGGGAAGGAGACACCGACGGAAGAACAGTAGGGTTAAAGCCATAGTTCAAGAAAAAGAGGCTATTATGAGTGGAACCACAAACAAGGTTGTTGTGAGCAAACTCCGCCCAAGGAATCAGACCGACCCAGTCATCCTGGTGTTCAGAAACAAAACAACGTAGATATTGCTCAATTTTTTTGGTTAGTGCGTTCGGCTACTCCGTTAGATTGAGGATGATAGGCCGAAGAAAAATTCAGTTTGATGCCCAACTGTGAACAGAAGGATCTCCAAAAACGGGAAATAAATTGGGAGCCCCTGTCTGACACAATCTCATTGGGAATACCATGTAAACGGAAAATTTCTCTAGCAAATATCACGGCCAGTTCGGGGGAGGACAGAAGTTTAGGCAAGGGAACGAAATGAGCCATTTTAGTAAACCTGTCAAGGACCGTGAGTATAACTGTATGCCTATTGGAAGCTGGTAGATCAACAATAAAATCCATAGCCAAGCAAGCCCAAGGTTTGTTGGGAACGACTAAGGGCTGCAATAAACCACAAGGGAGATCCCGCGGAAGTTTATTCCTGACACAAACATTGCAAGCCTTGACAAAGTCTTCCACATCCCTACGTAAACCGGACCACCAGAAGTCTTTTGAGATCAGGCAGTAAGTTTTGTGGATGCCGGGGTGACCAGCGATCTTGCTATCGTGGAAACAGCGAATAATGTCCACTTGGAATTTGGGAGACACGAACAAGCGGCCCACAGGAGTACGTTCGGGAGCAAGAGATTGTTCGTTCTGAATATCAGCGAGCAATGGAGTGTGTATTTTGACATTGGTGTTGGCGATAATATTGACTTCAGGAATAATAGGGAACAAAGTATCCTCTGTAGAGGTGGTAGGTTCGTGCTGACGTGACAAAGCGTCTGCTTTAGTGTTCTTAGAACCAGGCCTGTAAGTAAGCACATAATTAAAGTGTGTAAGGAACATAGACCAACGTGCCTGCCTGGCAGATAATCTTTTGGCCTCCCCATATACGATAAATTTTTGTGGTCAGTCAAGATAGTAACTGGGAGGACGGTGCCCTCTAACAAATGTCTCCATTCCTTTAATGCCATAATGATAGCTAAAAGTTCTCTATCACCAATGTCATATCTCCTTTCAGTGTGTGACAGTTTCTTGAAAAAAAAACCGCAAGGGTGCAGCGGCTTATCTAAACTTTGTCTTTGGGATAACACTGCGCCTATCCCTGTTTCAGACGCATCAACTTCAAGTAAAAAGGGTAGAGAGGTATCAGGATGAACTAATACAGGTGCTGAGGCAAAAGACTGTTTGAGCGTTTCGAAAGCAGATAAAGCCTCAGTAGACCAGGTTTTGGTATCGGCTCCTTGTTTGGTCATATTAGTGATAGGAGCGATAAATCGATTTTAGTTTGGTCGGGTCCATCATAAACCCGTCTTTGGAAATTACGTAACCTAAGAAAGTTACCTGAGACTGGTCAAAGCTACATTTTTCCAATTTACAATACAATCCATGTTGTAAAAGTTTCTGTAATACTTTTCTGACTTGTCTATGATGTGAATTAATGTCTCTAGAATGGATTAGTATATCATCCAAATATACAATTACACATTCATGTTGGAATTCTCTAAGAACTTCATTGATCAAGTCTTGGGAGACGGCCGGGGCGTTACAAAGCCCAAACGGCATTACGGTATACTCATAATGCCCGTAACGGGTATTAAATGCTGTCATCCATTCATCTCCTTGTTTAATTCGCACTAAGTTATATGCTCCCCTTAAGTCAAGTTTAGTAAAAATACTCGACCCCTTTAGTCTGTCAAAAAGTTCAGTAATCAAAGGAATAGGGTAAGCATTTCTGATAGTAATTTTGTTCAATCCCCGATAGTCTATACAAGGACGTAAGGTACCGTCTTTCTTTTCTACAAAAAAGAAACCCGCCCCCGCCGGAGAGGAAGACTTTCTAATAAACCCCTTGTCTAAATTCTCCTTGATATATTCCTCTAAAATTAAGTTTTCCTTGGTGGATAGAGGGTATACCGTACCCCTGGGAGGCATAGTACCAGGGAAAAGTTTAATAGAACAGTCATAAGACCGGTGGGGAGGTAAAGTATCCGCCTTACCCTTGTCAAATACAGATTTGAGGTCTAGATATTGTAATGGTATCTGAACGTCTGTGGATTGAAAAGTGTTAGCATAAGAGTTTACGGGGCAAACAGAAGTAACTCTCTGCAGACATTCTTCCCTACAACCCATACCCCAAGAAACGATTTCTCCACCCTCCCAGTCAATCTGAGGGTTGTGTCTCTTGAGCCAAGAATATCCTAGAACCACTGGGACTGCCGGGGAGGAAAGTAACAGAAGGGAAATCAACTCTTCGTGGAAAATACCAACAGTAAGCTTAACGGGTTCGGTCTCATGGAATATTACTGGTTCAGATAAAGGTCTACCATCTATGGCCTCAACGGCCAAGGGTGTATCTCTCAATTGGAATGGGATACAATGCTTATTAGCGAAAGTTTGGTCTATAAAGCTTTCTGCTGCTCCAGAATCTAATAATGCCATCGTAGAAATAAACCCCTTTTCCCAAGCTAGAGAGACAGGAATCAGAAGCCTATGATCTTTTTTATTATGCATAGAGGACAGTAATGAAACACCCAAGGCCCGTCCTCTAAGGGAACATAGGTGCGAGCGTTTCCCGGACGATTAGGGCAACTAAGACGTAGGTGACCTCTCCGCCCGCAGTATAAACAGAGACCCTCCCTTCTTCTGTACTGTCTCTCAGCCTCAGATAAGCAAGTATTACCTATTTGCATAGGTTCTGGTGGAGTAGGATTATAGGAGTCAGGGTTCTGAAATGAGGGAGCGAGTCTTACAGGAAGTCTAGTAACTCTTTCCCGAGTGTTCTGCCTCTGTCTCATGCGCTCATCTATTCTGGAAATGAAGGATACTAAATCCTCTAAATTTTCCGGAAGTTCTCTTGTGGCAATTTCATCTAGAATTTCATCAGACAACCCATTCAAGAATACATCCATAAAAGCTTGTTCGTTCCATTTCACTTCTGCTGCCAATGATCTAAACTCTAGAGCATATTCTACAAGGGTCCTATCTTGTTGTTGAAGGCGTAACAGGGATCTGGCCGCATTAATCTTCCTTCCTGGGGGATCAAAGGTTCTTCTAAAAGCCGTGACAAAAGCAGTGTAGTTGTAGACTAAAGGATTGTCATTCTCCCAAAGGGGATTGGCCCATCTAAGTGCTTTATCTATTAGCAGGGTTATAATAAAGCCTACCTTAGCCCTGTCAGTGGGGTAAGCCTGGGGTTGAAGTTCGAAATGTATGCTTATCTGGTTTAAAAAACCACGACAAGCATCAGGCGAACCCCCATATCGTAACGGTGACGTGACATGGGAAGATGCGCCTACAGTGGCTACTTCCAAACCAGTACTTAGCGAGTGACTAGCAGTGGAACGTATTTCTTCAGACTGGGTACTGGAGCGTGTTAACAAAGTTTGTAATGCTAAAGCCATTTGGTCCATTCTATGGTCCATGGCCTCAAATCTGGGGTCAGGAGGACTAGCACCTGCAGGATCCATCTGGCCCTGTCGTAATGTCAGGATACTGACAGGGATCCAATACGCAGAGTGCGCACAGAAGGAGGTACGTATACCGGACCTTAGAATGGCCGGACTAACGTAAGGACAAGCAAGAATAGTCAAAAAGGTAAGCCGAGGTCAAGGGAGCCGGAGGACAGGTAAGCGAGATACAAGCCGAGTCAAAGGAGAGGAGAGGACAACAGGATAAAAGACAAGCAAGGGTCAAAACCGGAAACACAAGATAAAGAACGCGCTGAGTGACTAGCAAGCTAGAACCACATCAGGGCAATGAGCAGTAGTAAAGGTTTCCTTTAAATACCCTGTTACCTAAATAGAGACCACGCCCCCAAAAGGTCCGGAATAGCGGTTCCCGGCACTTTATGTAAATGCCGATGTCATGACGTCGACGCTAGCCGTCGCGTCATAAAAGGGGGAGGAGCTAGCGCGGCCGGCGCGAAAACGGCCAGAATATGCCGAAATGCTAGGGGCAGGGAGCCCCTAAACAGAGAGGATGTCTTCCCTGGATTCAGCACCAACAGGTACCCTGACAGAAGCCATCACAACCATGCCTACTAATGGCATGGCTGTGACTGGCCAGTGCAGCATGTGACCCAGCCTCTATATAAGCTCGAGTCACATGAGCTCTTATTAGTGTAGGGAGAGGATGCTGCAGATGTGAGGGACAGATTAGGAAAAAATTCTGGTGTTGAATCTGCAAACTACAGTGATTATTTTTGTGGGTGCTATACTACATTTTTCTACCCATTTTCTTCTCAGGGCAGAGCCAGGCCCGGACTGGCCATCGGGCACACCGGGTCTATGCAGGGCCGGCGCTATCTGAACGCCGGCACTGCAGTAGTCTACAGCGGGCCGGTGGGTAGATCAGAGATCTCCCTCACCGGCCCACATAGAGAATACTGCGGCCGCCGGGGGAGAGAGGGAGGGAGCCAGCCTGCCAGCAGAGGAACCCGGCGGAGCTTTAACTTACAGCTCCGCCGGGTTCCTCTCGCGAGATTCATGGCAACGCTCCGGGTCTTGTGAGAGTGAACTCTAGCCCAACAGGCTAGAGTTCACTCACCACTTGGACCACCAGGGATGGATGGCGGCAGGAGTAGCAGGATCCCCCCTCCCAGGCATAAGGTAAGCAGGGAGGGGGGATATCAGCAGGGCACATAACACTCCCAGCACCCCTGACACTCACACACACACACTGCACCCCTGACACTCACAGCACCCTCACACACTGCACCCCTGACACTCACACACACACACTTCGACCCTGACACTCACACACACTGACCCCTGACACTCACACACACACACTGCGCCCCTGACACTCACAGCACCCTCACACACTGCACCCCTGACACGCACAGCACTCTCACACACTGCACCCCTGACACTCACAGCACCCTCACACACTGCACCCCTGACACTCACTGCACCCCTGACACGCACAGCACCCTCACACACACACTGCACGTCTGACCCTCACAGCACACACACTGCACGTCTGACACTCACAGCACCCTCACACACACACTGCACGTCTGACCCTCACAGCACACACACTGCACGTCTGACACTCACAGCACCCTCACACACACACACACACCTGCACCCCTGACACTCACAGCACCCTCACACACACACTGCACGCCTGACACGCACAGCACACACACACACTGCACCCCTGACACTCACAGCACCCTTACACACACACTGCACGCCTGACACTCACAGCACACACACTGCACCCCTGACACTCACAGCACCCACACACACACACTGCACCCCAGACACGCAGTGCACCCCTGACACTCACTGCACCCTCACTCACACTACACGTCTGACACTCACAGCACACACAAAATGCACCCCTTACACTCACAGCACCCTCACACACACACACATTGCACCCCTGACACGCACAGCACACACACTGCACCCCTGACACTCACAGCACCCTCACACACACACTGCACCCCTGACACTCACAGCTTCCTCACATGAATACACTGCACCCTCACACAGCTTCCTCACATGCACATAGCACCCTCATGCAAACACAGCACCCACTCACACACAGCACACACACACTGCACCCATCACACACACAGCACCCTTACCCACATAGCACCCTCACGCAAACGCAGCACCCATCACTCACACACACACTACACCCCTTACACACACACACACACACACACAGAGCACCCTCACACACACTGCGCAATATGCTTTCCTGGCATTTTTGTCTCCTGGTATCCCAACTATGGAGACACCAGAGACAAATTTCAAACAAACACAGTGCAAGCATGTTATTAAATTTGCTTGCGCTGTGCAGAACAAATACAGGGTATTTTTCTCATGCCAGAGCTCTTCAGCAGAGCTCTGCGCATGGTCTACCCTGGAAGAGCATTGAACCAACATGCTCACTTTGTGAAGTGGCGTGCTTGTCATTGGTGATGACAAAACACACCCTATCTGGCCCCGCCCCCTTTTGAGTGGGCCGCTGTAATTAAAAAATGCCCGGGCCGAATTTTCTTCCCAGTCCGGCCCTGCTTACAAGGATTTAATAATACACTTTATTTTTAACACTAGTACTATTTAATTTGTCCCCCACATTTTAGCGTAGGACCCACCAACACTGGGGTACTTTGAAAGCAGTGGTGGGCTTAACATCATATGGCCATATGGTGGAACTAAATCCCCATATTTATTCTTAGATAGGCAATTTAGAAGCCTTCTTTGTGTTGTATTTTTTTGTAGTCTGAGTGCGCCGCAACTATTTTTTTCAAGAAATAGAATTTGTCATCTAAAATCTTGCATCTTAGATCTCTCTGTAGTTTTCTGTGGAACTCAATGATTTACTTCCACCATAACTACATATGCCTCCTAAATTATTTTTCAAACATTGTATCAATTCTTGTGCTTGAATTAAATCAATTATATTAAACAATTATAAACTCTCCCTCAAAACTTGCGACATCTGTGGCATTGTGCTGTGTGAAAAAAATGCACATTTTAAAGTGGCCTTTTATTGTGGCCAGCCTAAGGCACACCTGTGCAATAATCATGCCGTCTAATCAGCATCTTGATATGCCACACCTGTGAGGTGGATGAATTATCTCGGCAAAGAAGTGCTCACTAACACAGATTTAGACAGATTTGTGAACAATATTTGAGAGAAATAGGCCTTTTGTGTACATAGAAGAAGTCTTAGATCTTTGAGTTCAGCTCATGAAAAACTGGAGCAAAAACAAAAGTGTTGTGTTTATAATTATGTTCTATGTCCTTAATGAAGAGTGTGATATCAGACCTATTTACTGCTTTAGCAGAAGGTTATGGGGACCTAGCTTCCACCTTCAGAGCTTTTCACTGATGACACCACAGACAGGGTGACATGATTTGGGACGTTTTGACCCAGCGCCCCTCCTAGCTACCATGCATTAGGGGTAACTGCAGCTGGTGCAGAGTTTTGATCTAATAGAGCAGTGTCTGCTGAACGCACAGCTTAGTCCCCAGGGACGTTGTAATGAGAGGGTTGAAATGCATACTGCCAAAACACAAGCAGAACGCTGTAGCACAAACACAGATAAGCACAGGCCAACAGATATACATGTGCTACATATATATTCCCATGCATGTAGATTACGGTAGGATTTCAAAATCACCCTGTGTTTTACAGAAACATAGAACACAACACAGTTTCATTATATATATAATTTTTAAAAAATAATTTAAATTGGCAATGATATTTATTTTATAATGCTTTCCCTACCAATTTAATTGTGTTCATTTATTGATTTCGGATGGTTGAAAGGTTGACTTGACAACCCTGAAGCATGAACAGGTACTGCATTTGGTATAGTACCCAACTAACCTAACCCGGTGACTTTTCTGTTTCCTTATTGGAAAGAAGAAAAAAAAAACATTTCATTTTTTTCTAGATAGTTCTATGCATACCCTGGACTTATTTAATTTATTTAACAGCGTTTACCAATGGATCTTCCGTTGGGAACTTATTCCAGATATCTGCTATCAAGAGCTAAATTCGGCTCAGTATTTTAGCTACATTACACATTTGTGTAACGTAACTAATTAAGCCACAATCCTGCAAGTTGATTTTATTTCACTACATCTCAAAGTTTAGAGAATAAACCTTTAACAATATACGATTCATCAGATGTCAAGTGCAGCTCTGTTCAGTAGGCACAGGGTATACGGTTATGATACAACCGTTATCTTCTCTGGTTTTGTTCTTTATTTGCCTGCAAAAAGCTGAGAGTGATAGGAGTTCTGCCAAAATAGCAGAGAGCATAACGTCCTGCAGATCAGGTGTACATAACACTTCTAGTACCATACACACTACAGCTCGCTGGAGGAGTGGCCAGGCCTCCCATTGTAAGGTGTCAAATCATTGTAATGCAGGGCTTAGCTCACTGACTAAGAGCAATCATTTGATATAAAATAATAGTTTGACTCCTTGCAATGGAGGTGTCGGAGGGTGCCAGGGTCCTTCTGGCACCATAACCACTACAACAAGTTGTTGTGGTCTGGTGCTTCTAGTGTTCCTTTAAGGTAATAGCTGGG